TCTTACGTTATATCGTTTTCAATTCTCAACAATTAATTAATGATTAAGGATCACGAATTGATACCGAAACCATTCGAACTTTTTCGATCTAATTAAACGTAAGTTAAGCCGATAGTTATTACATTAAAATAGAATTCGGTTAAATTACTTCACGGGTCATATAAAAATTCAAAATGTGACCATAATTTACTATATTTTAGTATATATTAAGAGATAAACATTTTGGAACCTCTAAATATTTATAAGAATTGTTTAATACAGTATTATTGTAGGGTTGGGTGTGAGGCATAATTGTCTAAGAAAAAAAGATGTAAAATTTGAGAATCAATATGATTGATGATGATTGATGATATTAAGCCGCGCGGGTCAGGTTGCATGCGAAATTACCTTGAACTAATGACCGGCTCGCACGAGATGTTTGTATATAAGTTTGACCGCCGAACAGCGTTGTCCGACACGGCTCCGCCGGAACAGACTAGAGCCGGACGTTTTTTTTTTGATGTTTTTTTTTTTGACTGTGTGGGGGAAAGGGAGTATTAGTAACGAGGTCTAATAGCCCCATTGCTAGCAGTATAACCTCTCAGGTCGATCTCCACGCGGTTCCCCCTGGAAACCATCTTGGTTAATTCTTGTCGAATTCATGGTGGGCCAACTGACCTGCATTAATACTCACCTATCATTTTCCACTGGTGCCTCGTCAGTGTATACCGATAGCGCAGGCGGGGTTACAATTCCATTTTCATTAAAAAACCCCATTTTGTGTGACCACTTTGGTTCTAAGGTGTCAGGATGGTGACTCCCTGGTGAGCGGAGCGATGTTGAAAGGCAACATATTGAAAAGTTTTAAGTACATAATCTATTCCGACAATTGTTTCGACTCCATCCGGAAGTCTTCTTCAGGGGGCATACGGCGCATTGGCTCAAACCTTTTTCTTTCTATATATATACACAGGCGGGGCACCAGATAAGGATGATAAGTGAGGATGAAGCAGGTCAGTTAGCCCATCGTGACGAATTCAACAAGAATTGTTCACGATGGTTTCCAGGGGGAACCACGTGGAGGTCGACCTAATAGGGCATATTGCTAGCAATGGGGCAGACAAACTTCATTGTTAACAATCCCTTTCCCCCTATTGCTATATATATATCCCACCTCTAAATATATATACATATATTTATATAGATACTGAAATACATGAATAACTGTTTTTTTTTTGTGGATATAGTTCCAAATTTCGCTCCGGAACGTAACGGTCAATGGACACGCGTCAAAGATATCAAGATAGACTTAAATAATGGGCTCACCTTCGTACATTCTGATTTTGTATGTAGGATAGGGGAGATAAAACTGGTTATCTATCTTGTATAATTCACTACCTGTTCTTTTTTTTTAATTTAGAATGGCAAACAAGCTGACGGCCCACCTAATGGGAAGTGGTAACCGTCGCTATAGACATGAGCAGTACCATGGACATAACAGAGTATACTGTTTCGCCCGTGATACCCCCCATACGTTGCCATTCCTGAGGACTCAGGTGTTATTCCTCTGTACCCTGTAAATTCACTGCCATATCCCACCCTTCAAACTGAAACACAGCCATGCAAACACAACTGCTTCACGGTAGAAACACGAATGGGACAGAGGTACCCAAGCAATCGACTTTTGTACAAAGTCTCCCTCTGGTGAAAATATGATTTATTTGGATGAAAATTTTAACAGAAGTATGAATAACATGGTGTAATTTTGGTCGGTATTTCGATCAAATTTTAAATTGTAAAAAGTGGTTATTGTGACATAACGATAATAGTTGGACATATAGAATCGCGAAGTTTTTTGTAGTTATTGATATTTCCTTCAATATTGTAGAACATACTTTTGTTCTATCACCAATAGTTTCCGCAGCGCACGCGACCAAAGATGTTTTATAGCATTGTATTTACACCTTGAGTTACGTTACTAAAGTTTTAGTAAGGATCCCTAATCTTTTCTAGCAATAAATATAGATTATGTTACTCAGGGTGAATGTAGCTTTCTAATAGTGAGAGAATTTTTGAAATCGACAAAGTAGTTTTTGAGTTTATTCATTACAAACATACATACACACAAAAATACAAATCTTTCCTCTTTATAATATTAGTGTAGATGTAGATTAATTGAGATAGATACAGTTATATTGTTATTATGGGGCATATATTGTTGTCGTAACTCCACTTTTTACCTATTGTGCCTGTAATGATTTCAAGTTTATTTGGATATTCGACGAAACGCTAAAAAGGTCACGTGACTCACCCCTAATTTAGGCCATCGCCGTCCAGGGTTGCCACTCGTCCGGTCACTATAGCTTTTTTTTTACATTGTACATATATTATTTATATTTTTTTTTTCATATGAATATAATTATTCTTTTTAAGTTTTAAATGTTGCACGCCTAATTATGGCGAAATATGGGTACTTATACCTATTGTTAACATCTATACACTTACCATGTTTCTTGTAAATAAATTAATAAAATAAATAAGTAAATTAAACAGTGAAGTCATAATAATTATTATAGAAATAAGGATGTTCAATTCTTTTTTTTTATGGGTGAAAACGGTATGGTAACCCCGCCTGTACTAACGGGATACGCTGGCGGAGCACCAGTGAAGGGTGATAGATAAGAATGAAAACAGGCCAGTTAGCCCATCATGATGAATTCATCAGGAATTAACCGTGATAGTTTCCAGGGGGAACCGCGAGGAGGTCGACCTGGCTGGGTATATTGCTAGCAATGGGATTCTCAGTCTCCATTACTAATAATCCCTGGCCTATTCTATGGCGAAACCACACGGCTACTAGTAAATTTCTAAAGGCCACTAAGTCCAGTTTCAAAATTAATTTCCAAAAATTCTTAATTGAGAGGCAAAAGTTAGACATTCCAGCAAGTTACCTCCATGTTACATTTGTCGGCTAGATAGACTGTCATATCTGTCTGTTTACTGTATATCTATCTTTTTACTGTATGGATAATCTGGTAGGATTGTTTTATTGTTACCCTATTCCCTTTGGCCGCAACAGAATATCAGTGCTTTGCTCTTTTGAGGGCGAAGCAATAAACTGAGTTGTGGCCATTTTGTATTGCTATGGCAAACTCACAAACGAAAATTGTATGTTTTTTTTTATCATTTATGTTATCTCGCTTTTCTTGTATATGTATGTTGTAATTTGTGTGCTGTAAGTAATGCAAATAAATTACCTATCTATCTAGTAAGTAGTGTGGTATGAAAAGTTTTTATCATTGTGACAACCCTATTGTTGACGGTTCCGAGAATCAGGCTTGATTAGTCGCTCCAACCCTGACTGTGGTTTTAATGACTGAATAAAAATGGATTACGCAATGGGTATCCATTGTATTATGCAAATTCATATTTTAAAGGGCACAAAGAGCAATTTTTCAGTTTGCACAATACCAGAGGGAGACTTTGTACAAAAGTCGTTTGCTTGGCCACCTCTGTCCTATTCGTGTTTCAAACAGCCGGGTAAAAAGAAATGGGTAAAACTTAAGTCGTTTACCATACCCTGCATATCAGTCGTTAATTGTCCTAGGATATAAGCCTACCTTTATTAGGGGTGGGGGGATTTTGCCAGTAGTTGCTAGACTTGGCAGGCGGGTTGGCAACCCGCTCTTAAGCTTTGAAGGTTTTTTTATACAACTTAGAATAGCAAATAAGCTGACGGCCCACCTGATGGAAAGTGGTAACCGTCGCCTATAGACATGAGCAGTACCATGGACATAACAGAGTATACTGTTTCGCCCACGATACCCCCCATGCGTTGCCATTCCTGAGGACTTAGGTGTTATTCCTCTGTACCCAGTAAATTTACTGCTCTACCTCACCCTTCAAACCGAAACACAGTCATGCAGACACAACTAACTGCTTTACGATTGAAACACGGTTGAATGGGACAGAGGTGGTCAAGCAATCGACTTTTGTACCATACAGTCTCCCTCTAGTTGGCCTTTTAAAAAACGTTACGCTAAAACTGATGGGGTGAGCGCGACCAACGATGTGATAAAGAAAAGTACAGGTATGAGGACGTTTTACAAGCAATGAAGAAATTTAAGTATTTTATTATTATTATTTTTTTAAATAATTTCATACTACTTCGACATATAATTCTTTTTTTATCGTAATGTATATATCTAATACTATGCCCTGTAGCGGGGAATGCAGATAATTTGGTAACACCTTATATAATTTACATCTTATATTGCTGAATAAATGTAATTAATTTTAACCCCTAAATACCGGGGGGGGGGGGGATTGTTAGTAATGGAGACTGAGAATCCCGTTGCTAACAATATACCCAACCTGGTCAACCTCCTCGCGGTTCCCCCTGGAAACTATCATGGTTAATTCCTGGGCTAACTGGCCTGTTTTCATTCTCATCTATCACCCTTCACTGGTGCCCCGCCTGCGTATCCCGTTAGCGCAGGCGGGGTTACCATACTATTTTCACTCATCAAAAAAAAATACCATATTATTGTATATAATGTGTATAAGTATATATATTTATTGCCCTCATCTAAAACATCATTACCATACTTGACCTTATTGGATGACCTTATTTGCAATCGTGACCTTGTATCCACAGTCTAGTGAGTAAGTAAGTCACGCCCTTAATAAAGGAACGACTAACTCCCAATTGGTGGGTTCGTGGCCCGGCGGGGGGGGGGGGAGTTGGTAATTGTGACACTAGTCCCCACAAATATCCTGTCAGGTAGACCTTCACGGAGTTCCACCTGAAAACTACGAGTATCTTGGTTAATTCCGGGTAAATTCATCACGCTAGGCTGTAACAGACTTGCTTTTTCATCCTCACCTATCATCCCTCACTGGTGCCCCGCCAGTGTATACCGATAGCGCAGGCGGGGCCACCATTCCATTATCAACCATTAAAAAAGCCGAAATATCGTGGAAAATATACTTTTTTAAATAGACGTTTTCTATTGTTTCAGATTTATGGCGTCCATTGTAATGAAGAAGCACTGCGTACAATCTCTGAGTCACCCCCCGACACAAGCAACCCCCCCATCGGAATAACGAAACCGAAAAATGCTCTCCGCCGTACGCCGTCCACCATCCACCCCGACAAACGCGATAAGAAGCATAAAAATTAAAAAAAAATCGTTGAACGAGCTTAAAAAAATATTGCCGACCATGTGTTCCAAATTCAATCTGGATACAACCATAGAGGTTGCGATTGGATTTTTTTGAAGCTTTAAAAACTTTTTCAACGTGGATTACTTTAAAAAAAAATAATTATCGATTAATAAAATTAGAGTTGCCTTCTAGATACCGTAGTGTATACCGTGATTGGTCCAAACTTATGTGTTACTTACTTCCCATAATTAAAATTGATGTTACATTTAATGCAGTATAGAATACAACTTTACGGCGCGTGAAATAAGGTTGGTATTTGTTCTTGCCTCGTACATGTGTAAAGCTGGCGACAGACCTAAGCTTCTTAGGGAATGTAACATTTAAAACAACTATAAAGGTAAAAATTGATTTAAATTATCAAAATAATATTGTGTAATGAAAACAAATTCGAAGCAGGTTAAATTTAATGTATAATAATTTAAGAATATGTTCCACAAAAACCGATTTCACTTGTGACAAAACCAGTTATTTTGATTCAAAAATCAAACTACTGAACCGATTTTGGCATTATTTGTATAGGTCCAATCTGTAAATATATCCTTTTAGATAAAAAGACAAATTTCCAATTCGATTTACAACTGTTGAGTTGGAGATACAAACATAAAAAACAACCTAATTGAAAACCTTCGTCTTTTTGTCAAGTCGGTGTAACTGTGAAATCACCTGTGACAAAATAACAGCTATCGAGTCCACAACTCGGTCAGTCGCCAGCTTTACAGTAAACGTCTCGGAAAACTGAATCCGTATATTTTAAAGGTTATATTGCAATTTATTCAGAAACCTCAAAAAAAAATATAAGAAAAAATATCAGATATCAATGCGAGAGCACGAAACCTGATTGATTTTTTCTGAAGTGTTTTGCTTACATTGTGTATTTTGATGATTGTTTTTTTTTTTTTTTTTTTTAATAAAAGTGTTCAGTTTTGTTGGAACATTTTTGTTATACCACTGAGGTGGCAAACAAGTATATGGTCCACCTGATGGTAAGCGGTTACCGTAGCCTATGAACACCTGCAATACCAGGGGTATTACGCGCGCGTTGCCGACCCTGAAGAAACCTCTTTATCCCTTTTTTGAAAAACTCCATGTAATCTCTTGGGAAAACCTCGTCAGGGAGCTCACTCCATAACCTGTATATAAAATTACATCAATGAACATAACGACGTCGCGGATAACTAGTTTCAGGAATGGCAACGCATGGGAGGTATCACGGGCGAAACAGTATACTCTGTTATGTCCATACTACTGTCATGTCTATAGGCGACGGTTAATCACCATTCTAAGTTGCATAAAAAAAAGATATACATACATGTACGTTTACACGTATAGAAAGATTTATCTAAAAATAATATGGCTTTTGAGATAATATTATCTATTTTAATTATTATATATAATATTAAATAATATTTAATTAAATAAGTATATATAATTATTAACTATAATTTTAATTATAATATATATGTATATATATATATATATATATATATATATATATATATATATATATATATATATATATATATTATCGTGACAATCAATATAATTATTGTAAAAAAAATTTGATACACAATTTAGAACTACATTAAAGATTGTGTCCCACAAAACAACTGACATCAATAGATTGAACGTAGATATTTGACTGGTACGGGCGATATCGCAATGGGTGGGCATCAAAATCCAAAAGAGCTCAATATATAGATATCGGGTATTACCTATCTCTAATAGCTTTGTGCATTACTTTCAGAATAGCAATAAACAATGGATAATGCAGAGGCCGATAGAAGTTCCACCAGCTTGGAGGAGGCCGGTCATCTTAATAGAAACCGGGTTAGTTGTACTAAATTCACACCAAATCTCTTACAGAGTAGACAGAATAAAGTTATATATTGTAATAATTATTAATAAATACTGTACAGATTTGTATATAATTTAGTACATGCATAGACATGACGATATGCTGAAGTAGGTGTAGTATTAATATTAATATTTTATCTATATCTATACCTTCACGCCACGCTCTTTCCGGACTAGGTAGAGAGAACTGAGTGTAATCCGCGACTTTCCATACTTCTATGCATCTATTTGTACATTTTGCAATTTAATTTGAATAAATCAATAAAAATAAATTTTTAAAGCAAACAGTGCATAACTCATACCGATTTTAATTAAAATCACAATTAAATCTAACTGTTATATAAATAACTGTTATTTTGTGCACATCACTAAAAGCGAACCGTTTCAATTCACAGAGTTTCAAATCGAAACAGCTGGTGAGAAGCCAAGCGATTAGGGAATCGCAGTCGCCACCGCGCACCGTGTCGCCCGCCGTACCCGACAACGATATAAATATAAAAAATAACAGTGATACAAGAACGCTTAGTGTTACCGAGAACGTTAGTGACGACTCTAGTCATGTTAGTGATTGCGTCGATGTTAGTTATAGTGATAAAAATAATTATAGTGATGAATTTAAGAAACAACAACCAGTAGAAATACAGGTGAGATATATATCAGTATTATGTTTCTGTTACACTAATTAGATATTATTGCACAATTTTATGTGTATTAATACTTATTTGCTTGAATATAAGTTAAGTTTTAAAAATTAAATATTTAATTTTAAAAACAAAATCTCTGCATTCTACCGTGTGGCGTGCAAATATTTAATTTGTAACTTGTCCTTAAAATTTTAACATTAAAATAGTCTTCAAGTGAATAAAAACATTTCTCAGTAAGTCAATTGTTAAGTTTTTCATAAAATTTTTTGTTTGTCAGATCTCTGTATACTGTCAGTAATTTATTATATATTTTAACTGCCATATAGTAATCATTCCTGTTGTACAATGTCAATCTATGTCTAGGTGCTATAAGTGGTTTCTGTGCCACCTTTTTCCTTAATAAACACCTCTCATTTTTCTTAAAATTTGTATAGTTTTCAAACAAATTTACACATAAGTATATAGTATATTAAAATTTTGTAATGACAGGACGAGACAATATAAGCAGAGAGTCTAATAATATAAATTAATTTGCAGTACATAATGTTATATTATCTTCACGGTATGTCCTTTATTGAGTGCCACACAATCACATCAATTGCCTAAACTTTATGATAGGATATGTGTTACGAGGAATCGAGCAATTATTATCTGAATATATAAACCCAGAAAACTCAGAAGCCAATTCAGAAAATTTCGTTACTCACAATTGGCTCGACCAAGAATCGTTTCCAGGGCTTATCTGTACAAAAAAAAAAACTTGTCTAAATAGAGCGCGTGATCTACTTAAACTAGTTGTTTTTTGTTACTGCTATATAGATCATTGGTATCTATATAGCGGTGACAGTCCAGCCCACACCACAGTCTTCTAATTTCTACTTGTTTGTAGTCGTACATGTGTCTTTAACAAACGTATGTATCTAAATGTCTGCAGATAACGCCGGGCGCTTGGGACGAACAGCAAACCGAGCAACGTCAACGCACAAAACGGTGGCTCGGCCACAAACACCACTCGGACTCGTCCCGAGACTTATTGTCCAACAATCCGCGCGTTGCCTGCGTTTGCGGAGCATGCGCCGCCTGCCCGCACTGCAGGTACGTCTGTTATAAAAAACGGCTATTAACAGTTATTGTTGAAAACTGTTTTTAACTAGTTATTTTTCACTAAGCCTGTATTCCCTATAAAGTATGCATACTCTACACTACATCTAGACCCTTACAATTTCAGTGAATTATTGTCATAATTACCTTTCATAACTAACTCTCCACCGACGTAGAGTGCCGGTAACAAATTTATCCGAATGACGCCGGTAAGCTCGCCTCCTGTCGCTTTGGATTTTAACATGCTCAGCGAAACGTGGGCTTTTCGAGTGTTATGTTCACCACAACGGCAACAGTTCGACAGATGTCTCTGACTACCCCATCTTGAGCATATTTAATTTTCAGGGCCCCCTTTTTCTCATTGAGTGATGATTGAATGGTAACACCACCTGCGCTATTGGTATGCGCTGGCCAGTGGCATGGCAGGGCTGGCAAAATGCCACGGGCCCCCGACCCAAAAGGCTGAAAAGGCCGCGAGATCAGAATTTTTTTTTACGTTGTACCTGAGTGCTTTATTTTACTTAAAAAGTATTTTTTTACTGATAGGGCCCCATCAAAAGATTTTGCCACAGGGCCCAAATGGTATAGTTACGCCACTGGCGCTGGCCGGGCACCAGGGAGGTGTGATAAGTGAGGATGAAAGCAGATCAATTAGCCCATCGTGATGAATACACCTGGAATTCAGCACGATGGCTTCCAAGGTCGATCCGATAGTGTATATTGCTAGCAATGGAACTTTCTTTTTTTTTGATGAGTGAAAATGGTATGGAAACCCCGTCTGCGCTAACGGGATACGCTGGCGGAGCACCAGTGAAGGGTGATAGATGAGAATGAAAACAAACCAGTTAGCCCATCATGATGAATTCATCAGGAATTAACCATGATAGTTTTCAGGGGGAACCGCGAGGAGGTCAACCTGGTTGGGTATATTGCTAGCAATAAGAAGTCTCCATTACTAACAATCCCTTTCCCCCACTTTCCAGGGGTCGACGGCGGAGACACGTGTGTCCAACCAAACAGGACTCGGGCATCGTCTGCTCAGACGATTGCCCGGATTGTTTGGACACGGAACAAAATGGTAAGTCACATTATTTTTTTTTATACCGCTAAGATGGCAAGTGGTTACCGTAGCCCATGAACACCTGCAATACCAGAGGTATTACGCGCGCGTTGCCTACCCTGAAGAAACCTCTTTACCCCCCTTTTGAAGAACCCCATGCTGTAGTCTCTTGGGAAAACCTCGGCAAGGAGCTCATTCCATAACCTGAGTGTTCGTGGAAGGTGTGGTATAATGACGATGCTCGATGACAACTCGCCATCCACAGGGAGAGCCTGAATTATTGGGTACAGCACGATTTTTTTTAATGAATGATAATGGAATGGTAACCCCGTCTGCGCTAACGGTATATGCTGGAGGTGCACCAGTGAGGGATGATAGGTGAGGATGAAAAGGCAAGTCAGTTAGCCCATCGTGATGAATACACCTGGTGATTCAGCACGATGGATTCCAGGAGGGACCTCGTGGAGGTCGTCCTGACGGGGTGCATTGCTAGTAATGGGACTGGTAGTCCGCATTACTAACAATCTTCCTTCCTTGTATAGCACGGTTTCAGAGATGTTTCGCTCAATGAGCTCGCTGTCGAGGTTTTTCCAAGAGACTACACCATGGGGTTCTTCAAAAAAGGGATAAAGAGGTTTCCTCGGGGTCGGCAACGCATTCGTAATACTCCTGGTTTTGCAGGCGTTCATAGCCTAAGGTGACTGTTTACCATCAGGTGGGCCGTATGCTTGTTTGTGTGAATGTCGTGAGTGGTGACTCAGGCCAATATCCTCTTTTCAAAAGTGGATAACAAACATAGTCCTCTTCATTTTGCCAATAGTTGTCAAGCTTGGCACGCGGGTTGGCAACCGCAGTTTTGGTGATGTTTAAAGAGCAGATATCAAATTCTGTATTATTCCTCCAGGTACTCCAAACACGGACGGAATCAGGAAATCTGATACAGTCGAGATAGACGACCAGACATACTACTGCAGGTATATATATATTAAGTTTTCTTTCAAATTAGTTGAGAGGTAACTGCAATCTTATAAATAACCTATTTTTTTTTATACAACTTAGAATGGCACACAAGCTGACGGCCCACCTGATGGAAAGTGGTAACCGTCGCCTATACATATGAGCAGTACCATGGACATAACAGAGAATACTGTTTCGCCCACGATACCCCCCATGCGTTGCCATTCCTGAGGGTTCGGATGTTGTTCTTCTGTACCCTGTAAATTCACGCCATATCCTACCCTTCAAACCGAAACACAACCATGCAAACACAACTGCTTTACATTTCAAATAACCTATTAATCAACCGACTTCAAAAAAGGGGGTTCTTAATTCGTTTGTATTTTTTTTTTGTTTATATTTGTCACCTCATAACTCCGTCAGTTGTAAACCGATTTGAGAAATTCTTTTTTTATCTTGAAGGATATATTTACAGATTGGTTCCATGGAATTTTTATCAAAATCGGTTAAATAGTTTAGTTTTTAAATCAAAATAACTGGTTTTGTCACAATTATAAATATATAAAAAGTAAATAAAAAACATTTAAGTCGATTTTATTTATTTTATTTATTTATTTAACACTTTATTGCACCAACATAACATGATTTGTTGAACAATTTTCAATACGTATAGTGTAGTACAAAAGGCGGTCTTATTGCTAAGCAATCTCTTCCAGACAACATTTAGGTGTTTTATAGTTTTAGTGTGTTTATTGTGGGACACAATCTTTATTTATTTATATATTTATTTACAAGAAACATGGTAAGTGTTATAGATCGTCATAGTCGTAGAATACAGACGGGTCTGACAAATATTATATATATATATAGATCCGTCAGTATTCTACGACTACGACGAGATATTAATAAGCATCGAGCCTCAAAAACGTGTCAACTTTTCGTCAGCTAATCGTCAAATCAGCTGACTCGTTTTGTTTATCAGTGCTCTATATACTTACGCACACAATGTATCTTGACGTATCTATATTTAATTATTTAATAAATAAAATGAGTTTTTACGCATTAATAAGATGCAGAATTTATAAGACAAAATAAATATAGAAGTTATAAAGGAATCACTCTTAACTATTTGTCACGCTAAATTGTATGAAAAAGTTGAGCCGTTTTTCTCGAAGCATTTGTATGGAGACACTGTATCTATATAATCTATGGTTTTGCTATATGTCTTCCAGATGCCCGGAGCGTAAAGAGACCAAACCAAAGAATCTATCTTTAAGCAGAACAGACTCTGAGGAGAAGACGGAGCCGACCGGCGTGGAGCTGGTGAACTTCATCAAGGAGACCCTAAACAAGAACGCCAGGGATCGGATGACGTTACTCAAGATCGAGAAGGAGCTGCACTCACTTGTCAACGACACTGGGTCAGTAATTAAAAAAAAAACTAAAAATTCAGATTCAGGATGAATGAGTCTCTGTTTAAGACTCTTTTATACGCCGACGACCAAGTACTTTTTGCATCGTCGGAGTATGAATTACAACAAATGGTGACTATAATGAATGAAGCGTATGCAAGAAAAGGTATGAAAATAAATGCGAAGAAGACGAAGGTAATGGTTTTTGAGAGGAATGAAAGTTTAACGGCATGCCAGATTATGATAGGAGATGAAAAAGTGGAGCAAGTGAGTGAGTTTCTATATTTAGGTTCTTTGTTTACGAGGGATGGGAAGTGTGAAAGAGATATTGAGAGGAGAGTAAAAAATATTTTTTTTTTATTTTTTTGCAAATTTTTTTATTTTTATTTTAACAGTGTTAACGGTGCATTGCTCTCGATTATATATATATATATATATATATATATATATATATATATATATACGAGCAAAGCTCGCCTTGCTATAATTCAAGGAGTACTGACACCAACACTCATGTATGGAAGCGAATCGTGGGTATGGCAGAAGAAGCATGAAAGTAAGATAAATGCTGTACAGATGAGAGCTTTGAGAAGTATGTGTGGTATTACTAAAAGATAGAGTAAGAAACAGTGTGATTAGAGAGAAGTGTGGACTGAAAGTCGATGTAGTGACCAAAATCGAAAAAGGAATGTTGCGTTGGTTTGGTCATTTGGAGAGGATGGATGAAAGAAGAATTACGAAAGAGATTTATCGAGCAAGAATGAATGGAGATGTCGGTAGGGGCCGCCCTAGACGGACGTATGTCGACCAAATAGGCGACGTGCTGAAGAAGGGCCAAATTAAAAGTACCCGTAACCGACGAGCGTGTATGACAAGATTGATGAATGTGGAAGAAGCGAAAGAGGTTTGTTTGAATCGAAGCATTTGGCGTTCCATTGTTTCTGCCTACCCTAATGGGAGACAGGCGTGACAACTTTAGATATGTATGTATGTATGTAACTAAAAATATAAATGCTTTAGAGATAGGATGGATAGATAGGTACTCTTTATTGTTTCCTCCAAAAGATTACAATACTAAACTTATTATAGATTTTTTTTCATACAACTAAAAATGGTAAACAAGCTGACGGCCCACCTGATGGAAAGTGGTAACCGTCGCCTATAGACATGAGCAGTACCATGGACACAACAGAGTATACTGTTTCGCCCATGATACCGTCCCATGCGTTGCCATTCCTGCAGACTCAGATGGTATTCCTCTGTACCCAGTAAATTCACTGCCATATCCCACCCTTCAAACTGAAACCCAGCCATGCAAACGACTGCTTCACGGTAGAAACACGAATGATACAAACAATTACAAGAAATAATGAAGAAAACAGTGCGCAGCCGTCTTTTTACATTTTTTGTTTATATTTTATTAATTCAATTTGCCCGCGGTCTTATGAAGTGTGTGTTCCCAGCCGGTGCATAGTGCGGTTCCCGGTGATGACGTCATACGGCCGGATGCTTGTCCACCGGTGCGCGGCGCTGTTCCAGCTGTCCCACCACCTCGACCAGGCCAACAGGACCTGCGTGCTCGTCTCCAAGAGCGGTCAGTACGCCCCACAGGTCTTAAGGTCTTTTTACTAGGGTACTACTAATACTGGTATAGGGGAGACTAATATATCTTATATATAGAATTCTCGTGTCACGGTGTTTGTTACCAAACTCCTCCGGAGAAACGGAAAATCCGAAACGGATTTATCGACTTTTATGAAATTTTGTGTGCATATTGCGTAGGTCTGAGAATCGGCCAACATCTATTTTTCATACCCGTCAATGGTAAGGGTGACCCACCCCAAAATATTTTTTTTTTATTTTTTTGACAAATTTTTTTATTTTTATTTTATTATGATTTAGCATTGAAAAATACATACAACATCAAATTTTCATCGTTTTTCAACCCCTATATTTTATATATATATATATATATATATTATATATGTATTTATATATATATATACATAATTCTATATTATACAAAAAAAAAACGACTTCAATCGTGACAAAACCATTTATTTTGGTCTAAAAATTATATTACTGAACCGATTTTGATAAAATTTCTACGGGACCACTCTGTAAGTATATCCTGTCAGATAAAAAAATGAATTTTCCAAAACGATTTACAATGTGGGGTGAGGGTGGGGGGAGTTATTCTCAAGTATTCAGCGACTCAAATGAGACGTCATTTTCAAATCAAACAAAATGCAAATAAACTTATTTCATTTCATTCCAATCATTTTAGAGATTGTGATTAAATAACTACGTCAATATAACGAATAAACGCCACCTGAGTTAGACGCGTGAGAGCATTAAAAAAAATAAAGAGATGCATTTACTGACCACTGTTGGACATAAGCTGGACATTTACAAGTAGTTGTCACGCTTGGCAAGCGGATTGGCAACTGCAGCTAAGCCGTTGGTGATGTTTTAAAAGGGACGATGCTGCCCATCCCTCGGCTTCCCTTAGTCGGCTCTTACGACGCCCACGGGAAAGGAAGGGTTTTTTTTTTGATGGGTGATAATGGAATGGTAACCTAGCCTGCGCTATCAGTATATGTCGGCCGGGCACCAGTGAGGGATGATAGGTGAGGATGAAATTCAGTTAGCCTATCGTGATGAATCCAAATAAATCAATCACGATGTATTCCAGGGGGAACCGCGAGGAGGTCGACCTGACAGGGTATATTGCTTGCAATGGGGCTACCAATCCCCATTACTAACAATTCCTTCCCGCAAAGAAACGAAGGCGTGGTCTGGTCTATGCCGGGACCACATGTTATTATAGGAGTCGTTGTTGCAGGCACGAGTGGTGGTCGGCTGCCGTGCACCAGCTTCCGGGAGTGGTGCACCAGCACCTTCCCGCCCTCGCCGCAGTATTTTAAAAAAAGTATTTAATAGTATTAAAAAAAAATTATTGTATGTGGAGATTTTAACATGCCACGGCGACACGCACGCCAAGTAAGATTGTGTGACGAACTGTTTACAATTACTCCTCTCCATCCAAAGGTTGCCTGGAAGAGATCGTTCGTGGCGATACGTAAGATACCAACTTTAAAAAAAACGTTCACACTCACTTTTTTACTTTATCCGAGCAGTAAGTGCTTTATATTATTCCCAAATTCGTGTATAATATAGTATATGTCATATATGTGTAAGTATATTTGTTATTCATATATATTTATTCGTTTATATATGTAATTTTAGTATGTATGTATATCAATAATTACTAGTACCGCATTCGAGTATTCTGACACTTCCCTATGGTTGACTGGGAGAGAATGCTTTCAGCATTAAGTCCGCCATGTACACATATATGTACTAATGAATAAATAAATATTATTAGTTAATATTACAAATGCGAAAATTTACAAGGATTTTTTTTTTATACAACTTAGAATGGCAAACAAACTGACGGCCCACCTGATGGAAAGTGGTAACCGTCGCCTATAGACATGAGCAGTACCATGGACATAACAGAGTATACTGTTTCGTCCATGATACCCCCCATGCGTTGCCATTCCTGAGGACTGAAGTGTTATTCCTGTGTACCCCGTAAATTCACGCCATATCCCACCCTTCAAACGGAAACACAGTCATGCAAACACAACTACTTCACGGTAGAAACACGAATGGGACAGAGGTAGCCAAGCAATCGACTTTTGTACAAAGTTTGACTGGGGATTAAGCTCCCGATTACTAAGAGTCCCTTCCGCCAGCGTATGTGTATGTGTATAGTGTGTAAGTGCGTGAGTGGGCGCAGGTCGATCCTGAAGCGCGACGCGCAGTCGCTGGAGGAGGCGGGCGGCGGGCGGCTGGCGGGCGGCCGCAGCAAGTCGCTCGAGCAGCGCGAGCGCGACTACGAGCGCGTGCGCCGCCGCATATTCAGCACGGTGCGCCCTGCACTCTACACTACACTACACGCGCACGCGCACGCACGCACGCACGCACACGCACACACACGCACACGCACGCACGCACACATGCACACATTCATATACACACCCGCACACGCGCACACTCGCATGCACTTACACATATATGTATTACACATATATGTATACTATAAAAGCCTACATATTGGCAAATCTTAAGTTAAATTCTGTGAGTTGATAAATGTAAAGACTTCATAAAAACAAGATAAAAAACAAGGAGATAGGGGTTAACCATAAAAGGTTTTATTTAAATTTCGAACTGGCTTGCAAATAGAAAGCTGTTTATTGTAAAAAAAAAATAAAGGAACATTATGGCGCGTGAAAAATTATTATTGTTCGTTATTCGTCATTGAATTTAAAAAGTAAAATTGTGTTTTTGATTTTCGCGCATTGTTTGAGAAAAGTACTATACAAGCCTTGGCCACAACTAGGCATTGATGGACTCACGTATGTGTGCCTCGGCTACGGCTCGGTCCACATTTGCACGTCCGTCCATCAATGCCTCAGTTGCTGGCCGCTGCAGTAATATTAGTATTAATATAAACCTACATGGTTTCTGAATGCTAATGTAACATAATTTCTGTAACACTGTATTTTTGTGATAATAAAAAAAAATACAGCCATTATCCACAGGATTTAACATATATATATATTGCCCATTTAGGACAACTGTAGTCAAGACGAATCTCAGTGGCCGTGGACGGGCTCGGGACCAGTCAAGGTGCTCACACCGGAAGGTGGAAGGAACAAGTTGCTAAAAGTAAGTTTTTTTTTTATATACAACTTAGAATGGCAAACAAGCTGACGGCCCACCTGATGGAAAGTGGTAACCGTCGCCTATAGACATGAGCAGTACCATGGACATAACAGAGTATACTGTTTCGTCCACGATACCCCCCATGCGTTGCCATTCCTGAGGACTCAGGTGTTATCCCTCTGTACCCAGTAAATTCACGTCATATCCCACCCTTCAAACCGAAATACACCCGTGCAAACACACAATTGGCGGCTAGATAAAAATGATTTTAAATAATCAATCGAAAACATAGATTTTGTTTTTTTTTTTTTTTAAATTGGCAGATAATTGCAAAGTTCCATTTTGTTATGGACTCTCTTAATGAATAGTATGGACTGTCTACAGGTGCAGTCGCTGGAGAGCGGCGGCGGTGGCGGCTGGAGGGGTGCGCGGGGCGCCGTGGCCAAGAGCCACAGCTTCGGCGGCTACGGGGACACGCGGCCCCACGCCACGCACCACGCACCGCAAGCACCGCACGCCCGCCTACTCAGCAGGCAAGGTGAGTACTGCAAGGGGGATGATAATGGAATGATAATCCTGCCTGCACGGGGGGAGGGGGCGTTACTCCCATTGCTAGCAATATACCTGTCAGATAGACCTTCACGCGGTTACCCCAAATCATGGTGGTGGAAATCGTGATTAATTATTGTCAAATTCGTCACGATGGGTCAACTGCCCTGCTTTATCCTCACCTATCACCCCTCACTGGTGCCCCGCCAGTGTGGTTTACACTACTGTGATAGCGCAGGCGGGGTTACCATTTCTTTATCACCCATAAAAAAATCCCCGCCTGCACTGTCAATATACACTGGCGAGGCACCAGTAAGTAATGATAGGTAAGGATGAAGAGGCAGGTCAGTTAGCACATCGTGATGAATACACCTAGAATTCAGCACGATGGTTTTCCGGGGGGGGGGGGCACGTGGGGGTCGACCTGATAGGGTAGATAGATAGATAGAGTCTTTGTTACCACTAATAATAGTTAAAGAAAAAAAACAATTTTGCTGGTTGCTGGAGCCGCCTCAGCTGTTGCTATATATGTACAGCTCCAGCGAGATGTACCTATATAGCGCTGATTTTCAGGCGGCCCTCAACTCATTTAATGAGATTCCAGGATTCCAGGATGGGAAACTTAATCCTTAAAAGCCTGATTTTTTTAATTAAATTAAAAAATATATAAGTGTACCCTTTACTGTGTTTACTAATGGGGAAAAATAGTAGAAAACAAATCAAAACGATATTTATATATATATATATATATATATATATATATATATATATATATATATATATATATATATATATATATATATATATATACTAGCTGACTCGGCAAACGTTGTTTTACCATATACATTATTTCGAGAACTATACATGAAAATTTATCCTACTACAATTATTATATTCGATCGCCATCTTGCAACCCTATTGCGGCATATAAAAATCGCGATTAAAAAACAGGGGTTGATCGTAAAAGCGTGAACAATTGAATTTGTATGTATTTATCAATGCTAAGTCATAATTAAATAAAAATAAAAAAAAACTGTCAAAAAAATAAAAAGAAAATATTTAGATGTGGGTGACCCTTATCATTGAGGGGTATGAAAAATAGATGTTGGCCGATTCTCAAACCTACCCGATATGCACACAAAATTTCATAAAAATCGGTAAAGCCGTTTCAGAGAAGTTTAGTAACAAACACTGCGACACGAGAATTTTATATATTAGATTTTGAAAAAACATTTGGTATCATTTTTGATACTTTAGACATTACGACAATTAAAATATTTAAATTTATTCAACAATGAAACAATGCAAACACCGGTATCAAATTTGAAACTTCAGGTATTTAAAGGTTAATACACTTAATAAAAAAATAAATAAAAAAAAAAAGTTATAACCAAAACTAAAAAAAAAAAAGAACAAACTCTGAATGCAAAATTATCGCAATTGGGTATATTGCTAGAAATGGGAGCGGCAGTCCGCATCACTAATAACCCCCCCCCCCCCCACAGTCTATCTGTTCATTTAACAAAGCCAACTAAAGTGGAACGTTGACGCCGTCCTATAGATGTCTAATTGGTTGATAAAGATTGCGTATGCGCAGGTGACCTGGCGTCCAGCAGTTGGCGGCTCTCGCCGTCCAGCTCCGGCTACAAGACGCTCAGTTTGAGAAGCACTGACTCCGTCACGCCGTCGCCCACTGGTAATTGTACCATTATCGTCTTCATACCAACCGTTAGCTGTCCATCGCTGGACATAGACGTCACCTGTACGGTGACCTCTCCTTATAGCAGTCTATAGGGGAGGCCTGTGTCCAGCTGACTGGCGGGACATTAAACGTAATGGAATGGTAACCCCGCCCGTGCTACCGGTATACGCTAGTGGGGTATAGGTGACGATGAAAGCAAGTCTGTTACAGCCCATCGTGACGAATGGATTGAATTAACCACGGTATCGGTTTACAGGGGGCACCGCGTGGATGACAGGTTGAATGACAGCAGTGTATTGTTACAATGATGTCACAAGAATTAGAATCAATTACTAACAATCCCTTTTCTTTCTTTTCAATTTCTTGTAAATAAATATATAAAATAAAAAAATTACTACAGCTAACGGCCCGCCTGATGGAAAATGTTAACTGTGTAAAGCGTTGTTCGCGCCTATAATGCTTCGTAACGTTTTAAAAAACCCCCCCTCACCCTCCACACTGCGTTAAGTAATACTTGAATGACCCCTAATGATGGACCTTTTATATAATGGATGATAATGGAATGGTAATCTTCTCCATAAGGGGGATGGTTAGTGATGGGGAGATTTTTAGTCCCGTTGCTAAATATACCCTATCAGATCGACTCCCATGGTTCCCCGACATCTATGGGAAAGGAAGTCGTGACTGGGGGGAAACGGAATTGTTTAAAAATGGAGACTGAAAGACATCCCAGAAAGAAAGACAAAAGAATGCAAAGAAAGTGACGTTTCTTTCTTTATTGTTGACAAGTGTTCGACATTCTTGATATATTTGTTTTTTTTTTTCTTACGTATAACATTACGAATTTTAATGACTCATTTAATTACTATTTATACATTTTCATCAATGTTGCATGCCAAATTATGGTGCCCCGAGGACTTATTGTTAACCCGTTAGTGCGGGCGGAGTTTGACACCATTCCATATTTCATCCCCCTACTAAAAACCATCGTGACTAATTTATCGTTGAATTTGTCATGATGGGCTATCTTACCTACCTTTTCATCCTCACCAATCATCCCTCACTGGTGCTCCGCCAGTGTATACCGATAGCACAGGCGGGGTTGCCATACCATTATCATTCATTTAAAAAAATAACCGTCTGCGCTATCAGTATACGCTGGCGGGTTACCATTGAGGGGATAATACGTGAGGATGAAAGCAAGTCATTTGACCCATCGTGACGAAATCGACCGTGATGGTTTTCCTGGTAAATTGCGTAGAAGTCTAATGAAGTGGATTACTAACAAAAGGGTTTTCAGTTAACAATCCTCCATTGTTAACAATCCCCCATAAATTGTATATTGACGCAGGTGGCGCTAGCCCCGAGCCCACCGGGCCGGCGGTGTCAGTGGCCAACTCTTCGAGCCCAGCAGTGGACGGCGTGGGCGGCGCGGGGGCGCTGGTGTGGGCCGTCACCGACATGTCGGCCGTGCCGCCCGGCGCGCTCGTCATCCACCCGCAGGTACGGTACTGGAACACCGATACATGATATGCTGTTATGTTATGTCCATGGTACTGCTCATGTCTATAGGCGACGGTTAACGACTGCGCTAACGGGATGCGCTGGCGGAGCACCAGTGAAGGGTGATAGATGAGAATGAAAACAGGCCAGTTAGCCCATCGTGATGAATTCATCAGGAATCAACCATGATAGTTTCCAGGGGGAACGGCGGGGAGGTCGACCTGATTGGGTATATTGCTAGCAATGGGATTCTCATTCTCCATCACTAACAATCCCTTCCCCCCCTCTGTTCCCTTGTTGAACAGTTGTTATAAAGCTGTTTGTGCACCGCAGACGGGCCGGCCGCTGACCAACCCGGACGGCAGCGTTTACCACTTCGATCCGGCGAATCCGCCGGTCCTCTACGACCCTAATATCTACGTGCACAACGAGCAGAAGGTGAGTCCAGTTCATCAATCTTATATTATAAAAATGGAGGGGGGGGGGGGTTGATTATACCAATTCAAAAGTGTCTGGTGTTCATCCCAAAACAAGGAGCATGGATTTAAGTTTTAGGCAGAGAGGAGTCTGAGAGTATTTTGATGCTTTTTAAAGAGGATGTAGATTGACAATATAAAAGAGAGAAAACACAATTCGCGTATATGTTAGAGCGAGATAGAAAAGTAGGACACTCGCTTACACAATATAAGCTCGAAGCGGATTTGGAGTGGACGTTTTGACATCGCGCAAATTATTTGAAACTAGCTATTGCCAGCGACTTCGTTCGCGTTTCCGTCGTTTTTCGTAAAATAAGTACCCTATGTCCTTCCTTCGGTTTTGACGTAACAGACACATCTCCCTTTACTGCTCTGCTCCTATTGATCGTAGCGTGATGAAAAGTATAGTATAACCTGCCCAGGAGTATGAAGAATAATTGTACCAAGTTTCGTTAAAGTCCGTCGAATAGTTTATGTTTCTATAACGAACATACAGACAGACAAAAATTTTACTGATTGCATTTTTGGCATCAGTATCGATCACTAATCACCCGCTGATAGTTATTTTGGAAATATATTTCATGTACAGATATGACCTCTCTACAGATTTATTATAAGTATAGATTTTACGATCCACACGACGCGCGATCAATGGCGCGGTAGAATTTTAATACGAATATTAGATTGCTAATTTTTGGTATTTAATATTATATTTCACTATAAAATATTATTGTTTTTTTATATTATTACATACTATATATATTACATGATTTAAAATAAAAAAAAAAAAACGAAATTTTCCAGAAAAAATAGCCATTAGTTTTTAGTTCAGAACAATGGCTTGAATTCACTGTTTTAGTTTCAGCCAACCTGTCTCTGCATATATACATTGCATACACCCTGCATATATTATAAAAAAAAAAAAAAGAAAAATACCGATTTAATTCAAACTTTTAAATTTTTGTATCAATTTACTTTTCAAAATTGATTTTGAGAAGTAAATAGAAAACAAAATATTTTAGCTAAATAGCTTTTTAAACCAACTATTGGCAACCCAACACAAATTAATTTATTTGACAGTAACATTTTCGCTGTCTCTTTTAATAAAAAAGTCTGTTTTAAAACAAAATAATTAATCATCAAATTAATTATACTTAAAATCATTGTAGTTTGTAAAATCATTTTGTGATCGATTTCATACAAGAAATACCAAATACGCACACGGTCCTTCGAGCCGGATATGAACCGGCGGCCTATGGATGTACAGTCCACTCCATACCTATTTATTCAACGATAAGGTTTTCTTTATGAATGAAACTGTACATTTATTGTGTCCACATCACTAGTCATGATATACAGCGATGCGTCATCACCCACGACAGTGTTCCCCGATGTTATACGCCATTACGTCATTTCATTCTAAATTTATAACTGTACACCAATAATTATTACAATTCGTCGAATTATATTTATGGTATGTTTTAACCATTCTTTGCATAATGGTGGAAATTTCCATCATAACATTGAATGCATAAAAATTATATAAAAGACCAAGTTCACTTTGAGTTGATCGTGTCTAGATACCTTTTTAATGTCCATTGCAGAAAAAAAAACATAGCTGTCAAATTTATTTTTTTTAACCATTTTTCCTTTAATTTTAAGCATGAATTATATCACCTTGATTTATTTCACCAATAAAAAAAATCATGCAAAGAAGGGTTAACATGTAGAATTGAACTAGTTGTATCCCACGGCTGCGCTTGTCGTGAGAAGCGGTCTTAGTCGCCTCTTACGACACCTACAGAAAAGGTGGAAAGGGATTGTTAACAATGCGCACTGCCAGTCCTATATTATATATATACCAGAGGGAGACTTTGTGCAAAAGTCGATTGCTTGGGTACCTCTGTCCCATTCGTGTTTCAACCGTAAAGCAGTTGTGTTTGCATAGCTATGTTTCAGTTTGAAGCGTGGGATATGGCGTGAATTTACGGGGTACAGAGAAATAACACCTGAGTTCTCAGAAATGGCAACGTATGGGGGGTATAATGGGCGAAACAGTATACTCTGTTATGTCCATGGTACTGCACATGTCCATAGGCGACGGTTACCACTTTCCATCAGGTGGGCCGTCAGCTTGTTTGCCATTCCCAGTTGTATAAAAAAAAAGTAGAAACACGGAAGTGACAGAGGTACGCTTGCAAATGACTTGAATTGGCCTTGGGCAGTCTCGTACAACGCGATTTCAAAGATGTTTCCTCCCACCAACACTCAGGTTATGAAATGAGTTCCCTGCCGAGGTTTTCCCAAAAGACTACAGCATGGGGTTCTTCAAAAGGGGGGTAAAGAGATTTCTTCAGGGTCGGCGACGCGCGCGGAATGCCCCTAGTATTGCAGGCGTTCGTAGGCTATGGTAATTACTTACCATCAGGTGGGCCGTATGCTTGTTTGCCACCTCAATGGTATAAAAAAAAGTCTCGCTCTGATATATTTAGCCCTGAAGTCATAGACCTAAATTAGGATAGATGACGCATGGTCGTCATTCTGAAAGAAATCAAAATGAGTCAGTAATATACTATTTGCTGTGATAACGGATTATTAGTAATTGAAATAAAGCAGAAAGAATGTATTCATAGAATTATGCGACTCACACAATGGCATAAATGAAAAAATTTAGTATAATGATATTGTATTTTGCCGTGTGGTCCCAGCATAGAATAGGCCACCCCTTCCATTCCCATGGGTGTCGTAAGGATTAAGGGAGGGCGATTCTTATGGGCAATTCTCATTAAAACGTCTCTTAAGCGTTTGCAACCACTGGCAAAACCCCGCAAATATTTTTACCATAATGATGACATTAATTATTATAAACATACAAAAAAATCATGTATCTGGTCTGCAATAAATATCATGTGTAAACAATATTTTATGTCAAATCTGCTCATGTCTATAGGCGACGTTTACCACTTTCCATCAGGTGGGCCGTCATTGTTTAAAGTTGTATAAAAAACTCACTTTCACATTTATAATATTAGTAAAAATTAACAAAAATTTTTTGAGCAGTAATCAATTCAGTTTATGATTGAGAACGTTGGCTCTTGGTGGAATTTGGAATTCATCTCGATGAGTTAAGAAACACATGTACTAATTCCATAGGTTTTTATTTAACTAATATACTTAAAATAATAAATCTTTGTAATTACTTTAATTTATATATATATATATATATATATATATATATATATATATATATATATATATATAATAAATTACACTCAGAAATAGATAGATAGATACTCTTTATTGTTTCCTCCATAACATTACAATAGTAAACTTATTATAAATATAAACAATTACAAGAAATAATCACAGTGAGAAATCTATAATAAGTTTACTATTGTAATATTTTGGAGGAAACAATAAAGAGTATCTATCTATCTATTTCTGAGTGATCTGATATCTATCTATCAAATGAATTACATTCTTTTAAATATGAAACACAAAAATATGTTTTTGCTCAGTGATAGTTTTGCTTAAAAGCAAAATACTGATTTTTAGCTGCAGCCTGGCGTTAAGCTTATACATGTTAATCCAGGATATAATCTATTCTTATTTAAATTCTCATTAAAATCTGATTAGCCATTTGATCTTCATAACGAACTTCCAAATATTTTTACTGTCACATCCTGCTATTATTATAACTTATGACTTGTTCTATCTGTGTATCAAATTTCACTCAAATCTGTTTCAGCCGTTTAATCGTGATTGAATAAATGTAAAAAAAAATCCACATTTTTACAATTAATATGTTTTATTTCGATATTCTTTATTCGTTCACAATCTAAGCTAAACAAAATTTGATGGAAATTTGTGTGCACAGATAGATTATTTGTTTATATAACTTCTGCTTAATTGCACTAGAAAACATAAAAAAAAAACAACTTATGTATGTAAACAATTCAAGTGAACACAGTAGCATAAAGTACAGATTAATTAATATATATATATATATATATATATATATATATATATATATATATATATATATATAAAAGTACAAAAGGCGGTGTTATCGCTAGAGCAATCTCTTACAGACAACAAGAGGGAATTAATAATCGTTACGTGCATATCAAGGAATATACATAGGAAACTTTTTTATTTTTATGCTAATTAACTGAATAAACTAACAGCTTTTACATATTGTTATATATTTCATATTGTCATTAATTAATCTCATAAAACATTTACTCATTACATGTCTAAATGCAATAATATGTATGGAATATATAAAAGGCATACAAATCGTTATTGTTTACTGGGCGTCCTCTGTCTTGTCGCATTCGACAAAGTCGAATTCGTCATCAGGCACCGTTTCTAGACACGCACCGCCAACGTTAATCATGCCTGTTGGACATCTCGACTGACAGAATACAGTCTGCGCCTCCCCAACCTTTTTAACCTGGACCACTTCCTCAACAACTGGTGCGGGCTCGTTGGATGACATTTCGGTGTCGCTATTTAGTTAACTCTCCTCGGCTGACTCTGTTTGGCTGACTTAATTTGGCTGACTCGACTCGGCTGACTTTACTTAAATTAGTTTAAAGTATAGCAGTATTGTTGCAGTGTCTTCTGTTATTTATTTGGTTCGTTTGTCCTGTAACAATATAATTTATTATTTTTGACAAAAATAAAAAATCTAACGAATTCAATACCTCCTTTGGATGTCGCTTTTTTATGATATTTAAAACGGGAGACAAGTTGACGTCCCACCTAGTAGAAAGTGTTGACTATCGCCTATAGACATGAGCAGTACCATGGATATAACAGAGTATACTGTAATGCCTAAATAATGTAATTAATAAATAATTTATACCTACTCCTCATGCATTGCTATTCCTGAGTAGACACTGTTAATATCGGTACCAGGGGGGAAAGGGGTTGTTAGTAATAGGGTCATATAGCCCCATTACTAGCAATATACCCTTTTAGATCAACCTCCACGTGGTTCCCCTGGAAACCATCGTGTTTAATTCTAGTGGAATTCGTCACGATGGGCTAACTGACCTGCTTTCATCCTCATCTGTCATCTTTCACTGGTGCCCCGCCAGTGTATACCGATAGCGCAGACGGGGCTACCGTACTATTATCACCCATTAAAAAAATATATCGGTACCGATCCCATATGTATATATTGGGTTTTTTCAGCATTGATGACGTAAATGTCATCAAGCATTTCAATATCGTCCACAATAATCGGGTATTTTTTTTTTTATAAATATTTTTTTGTGTTGTTTCTTTATAATATATATTGATATATAGATATATAATTTATTTGCATTACTTACAGTACACAACAATACAAACATACACATAATACAGGCATACACAGTAAAAAGGGATAAATATATATAAGGTTACAATACTATTTTCATGCATCAAAAAAAAAACTCAGTTTATTGCTTTGCTCTCAGAAGAGCAAAGCACTGATATTCTGCTGTGGTCATTGAATAACTGTTACTTAATATATCCGTTATAGGTCACAGTATATAGATATTGTAACTGATAAATATAACATTTGGCGTTCCATTGTTTCTGCCTACCCTAATGGGAGACAGGCGTGACAGATATGTATGTATTTTATCCACTCTTATTCTTCGCTTGTGAAGTACCTTTCTAAATATAGATTTTCTATGGGGGGAAGGGATTGTTAGTAATGGGGAGGCTAGTTCCACTTGCTATCAATATACCCTACCAGGTCGACGTCCACGCGGTTCCCCCTGGAAATCATCGTGACTGATTTATCGTTAAATTCGTCACGATGGGCTAACTGACCTGCCTATTCATCTTCACCAATCATCTCTCACTGGTGCCCCGCCAGTGTATACCGATAGCACAGGCGAGGTCATCATTCCAATATCATCCATTAAAATATATATATATATATATATATATATATATATATATATATATATATATATATATATATATATATATATATATATACAAATATTTAAATGGCTACATATTATTTGTTTTTATCCTTATTATAGACTAGCTGTTGCCCGCAACTTCGTCCGCGTTTCCGTCGTTTTTCGTAAAATAAGTAAACCATGTCCTTCCTCATAGTGTTTTGATGTAATGGACACATTTCCCTTCAGTGCTTTCATATTGATCGTAGCGTGATGAAAAGTATACTATAACCTGCCCAGGGGTATGAAGAATAATTGTACCAAGTTTCATTGAAATCCGTCGAATAGTTTTTGTCGTCGAACAGACAGACAAAAATTTTACTGATTGCATTTTTGTCATCAGTATCGATCACTAATCACCCCCTGATAGTTATTTTTGAAATATATTTCATGTACAGAATTGACCTCTCTACAGATTTATTATAAGTATAGATAGATAATGCCAATGTTCCTACTGTGAAGCAGTTGTGTTTAACCATAAACATAATAGAGTATACTGTTTCGCCCACGATACCCCCCATGCGTTGCCATACCTGAGGACTCAGATGTTATTTCTCTGTACCCAGTAAATTCACGCCATACCCCACCCTTCAAACCGAAACACAGCCATGCAAACACAACTGCTTCACGGTAGAGACACGAATCGGACAGATGTACCCAAGCAATCGACTTTTGTACAAAATCTCCCTCTGGTAGACTAAACTACAAATAACTTTAGAGCCTTAATCTCTGAACACAAACACTCTGTGGTTATTCGACGGAACTCCAGCAAGTTGGTGGCAAATATAATAATATAATATTACGTACCTCGTGTGCGCATCTGACGCGTGCGCAGCTATTTCTCAACTGGTTTGCTTTGATTACTCTGTTATGTTTCATTCGAACGTAATGCGGACTTTATAAATAGCACTAGTGCAGTGGCTACGACTCCTTATAGATTTTATTTATCGATCAATCGATAATCGATATAGTGAACGATTAGTGTATTTCATTTGAACTTTAGAATAACTTGCAAACTGCAAGGCTTCGCACGGGTCGATAGGAAAGATGATTTAGTATTTATTTTAAGCTTAATAGGCGATTTCCCCCTCCAAATCGGTTTACAACTGACGGAGTTATGAGGTAACTAATAAAAAAAAAAATACGACGGAATTGATAACTTTCTCTTAGAAGTTAGTTGAATGATTTAATTTTGCCACGGTAATCTGGCCATTAATATTTACGGAGCAAAAAACCTGTTTACTAGCGCTAAATTAAAAACAATAACATCTGTTATAATTAAAGTTTTCCTACATAGTATATATATATATATATATATATTTTTTCAGTGATACCTATTTGTTTGTGTGTGTGTGTGTGTGTGAGAGAGAGAGAGAGAAAGAGAGAGCACCACTTAAAATCAAACAACAAATCAGAAATACTGGATCGAGTTGGTAATTACAAATGGTGTGTAAAGTAGATACAAAATTAATAAATTAAATTGAATTTTGTTGGTATCTTCATTAAGTTCAAATAAAAACAAACCAAAGATTGTGAAGAGACATTTGTTTATATATATATATATATATATATATATATATATATATATATATATATATATATATATATATATATATATATATATGTATTAATACGTGAAGCAAAACCCTTTTTGTACCCTTTTTTACTAAAATTGTACGGACGGAGGAGTATGGAATTTGGCACACTTATAGTTTATATAGAGAAGGAGTGCAGAGTGATAATATTTATATATTGGCCGATTATCAAATATACTGTACCGTCTCTCTGCTATCCGTGTCTGGCAAGTGTCTTCTCAGTTATGCCAAGAAAGGAATACTGTTGTTGGCATATCTCTCAATCAATTATTATTTTTATTCACAATCCTTTATTTGTAATATATGCTTGTTTATTTTTTTTAATGGATGAAAATGGAACGGTAACCCCGCCTATCCGTACCGCGCTATCGGTGTACGAGACGAGGTATCAGTGACAGGTGATAGGTGAGAAGGAAATCAGGTCAGTTGGCCCATAGTGATGAATGCATAAAAAAATATTCAAGATGTTTTCCAGGGGTAACCGCGTGGAGGTCGACCTGATATATGACCTGAGTATATTGCAATGGGGCTGTTACATGCCCATTGCTGACAATAACTTTTTTTTGATGGATAATAATGGAATGGTAACCCCGCCTGTGTTCGGGCACTCTCTGAGGGTGTTTTTGGTGGATGTCACCATACCACATGACGAGAACCTCGTGAATGCAGGATAGATGCGGCATAGTATTGTTTGCAGACGATACTTCATTGATTTTTAAAGTTAATAGAATGACTAATAATTATGACGATGTAAATAGTGCTTTGCGGCGTCTCCTGCACTGGTTTACAACTAACAATCTTATGTTAAACGCTAAAAAAACAAAATGTGTTAATTTCTCTCTATCTAAAAGTTTTAATATTAATTGCAATATTAAATTAAATGACGAATCTCTCGAATTTATAGAATCTACTGTCTTTCTAGGAATCACACTAGATAATAAAACACAATGGGGTGCACAAATTCAAAGCCTTGCAGCGAAACTAAGTTCAGCAGCTTTTGCCGTGCGTAAAGTTAGACAGTACACTGATACTGATACTGCTAGATTAGTCTATTTTAGTTATTTTCATAGTTTACTCTCTTATGGAATATTACTATGGGGAAAAGCGGCAGATATTAAGAATATATTCATATTACAAAAACGTGCCGTTCGAGCGATCTACTGTATGAAGAGTCGTGACTCATTAAGAGAGAAATTCAAAGAGGCAAATATTCTCATCGTTGCTTCTCAATTTATATATTCAAATATTCTATATGTTCATAAAAATCTTGACTTATTTCCAAAAAACAGCAATATTCATAATATACTAGATTTAAAGACAAACTTGCTGTCCCCAAGTATCGTTTAGAAAAAGTTAATAGGTCTTTTATGGGAATAGGTATAAAAATTTACAATAAGATACCAAAGGATATGTTGGAATTACCCTTAAATAAATTCAAAACATCTGTTAAATCATATTTACTGAGCAAAGCCTATTACTCACTAAACGATTACTTGAATGACGAGTGTGCATGGCAATAGTTGTTCATGCACTGAATTTTCATTTAATGTTAGACATAGACACCTATATAAATATACATTGTAAATAAACTGGCTTTAAAAAAAAAGTAATTCAATTGAGTTTCTTGCCAGTTCTTCTCAATTGGATCTATATACCGAACTGGACGGTAGGGAAAATATAAAATTATAATGTAAAAATTTGACGTTCATAAGCGGCTAAAATGTCCTACATGAATAAATGATTTTTGAATTTGAATTTGAATTTGAATGCCGAAACTGAGAAAAAGAGAAAATATCTCGACCTGGCTCACGAGATGACCGAAATTTGGGGGTGACGTCCACCGAAATCATTCCAATCGTTTTATCGGTGAACTGTCTTATCCCAACAACATCTCAGACGGTTAGGATTCCGAGGCGGCTAACTCCCGGGAAAGATGCACAAAGCGGTGCTCTTAAAGCGAAATGATATTAAGAGAGAATAATATTTGTAGAATGTATAATGTAAACGTTTATTAATACAATAATTCTTAAAAGTATAAATACAAGTACAGAAGGAGAACAATAGAAAATATAAAAAAGGTATAATATAAAGACGATATGTAGGTGCCGTGGCGCCAACAACAAAATTCTTTGCATATACGCATGCGCGGCCTGCGCGCGCAACCCGTAGTCGCCGAGCGCCTGCGCGTCCTGCGCGCGCATAGGTACAACAAACAAGCTGCGTGCGCGACCGACCGTATTACATACGAGGTTTGTCCGGAAAGTACGTATAAAAGTTTTTTAAAAATTTTATTTTACAATATATCAATTTTATCCCCTTCAAAGTACTCCCCCTGTGACATAATGCACTTGTGCCAACGCCGTTTCCACTGTGAGAAGGCTCCTTGAAAGTCCTCTGGTTGTAGGTTTCTCAGCTGCCCCGTCGTAGCTTTTTTTATCTCATTTATGTCCCCCAAATGCCGCCCCCGAAGTACCAATTTGGTTTTTGGGAACAAGAAGAAGTCACACGGGGCCAAATCCGGCGAATAGGGGGGTGTTCGGTCACCGTAATGGAATTTTTACTCAAAAACTCACGGACAACAAGAGAGGTGTGGGCAGGGGCATTGTCGTGGTGAAGAATCCAACGCCCCTCTCGCGCCAATTCTGGACGAACTCGTGCCACACGAGCTTTGAGGCGTCTGAGCACATCGACGTAGAATTTTCCATCAACTGTCTGGCCTGGAGGGACGAATTCTTGATGGACAATATCGAAAAAAACAATCAACATTGTCTTGACATTTGAGCGGGATTTTCTTGATTTTTTTGTTCGTGGTTCCCCGGATGTCTTCCACTCTTTGCTTTGGGATTTTAATTCGACATCAAATTCGAATCAATTCAATTTCTTCAACGGAAGCGGGCTCCATGCCGACGGGGTTTCGTTAAGAGGTAACTTCACAGATGGCGTGACAAGCCAGTTCGCACCGCACGGCGGTCAGACCAGAACTGAAGCATTGTTAGGGACATAAGGAAGGGGTCCTGCGCTTACCTGGCCTCCCCACTCCTCTTCTCGCATTCCAGAACACTTTTATACGAACTTTCCGGACAGACCTCGTATATATATAAAATATTTACGCTTGTCTGCGTGTTATTACAAAATAAATGAAATATATAATTTTATAAGTATGCTACACTCTTAGCATAGTTGGAAGCGGGCGACGCCGCGGGAAACGGCTATTATTCAATATGAGCACAAAGCAGACGTAGCGTCAGGGTCATTCCAAAATAGACGAAATATTGTATTGAAAACATATGGAATTCGCGCCACACGTGTGAAATATTGCAATTGTATAAACAAATGTCTCTTCACAATCTTTGTTTTAATTTGAACTTAATAGAAATACAAACAAAGTTCAATTTAACTAGTGGTCGTCCCGTGGTCGAAATTCGACCATAACATATATAGTAATGAATGAATGTATTATGGTCACGTTCGACATTCAGTGAGACTATGGACAAGTAATGTTAAAGGCAAACAATATTAATCTATTCTCAATTCGACCGCAGACTTTAACAATAAACAAAAGAGTACAATATGAGTGTGTGTGTCAAATACATGGTGTGTGTGTAATGTTTTTTTTTATTCATTTAATGTATTTTAATGCATAATTTTTTAAAAAATATTATCATTCTGCACTCCTTCTCTTTATAGACTATAAATGTGCCAAATTCCATACTCCTCCGTCCGCGCAATTTTCGTAAAAAGGGGTACAAAGTTTTTGCTTCACATATTAATATGTAGATAGAGTATAGATAGAGTAAGAAACAGTGTGATTAGAGAGAAGTGTGGATTGAAAGACGATGTAGTGACAAAAATCGAAAAAGGAATGTTGCGTTGGTTTGGCCATTTGGAAAGGATGGATGCAAGAAGAACTACGAAAGAGATTTATCGAGCAAGAATGAATGGAGATGTCGGTAGGGGCCGCCCTAGACGGACGTATGTCGACCAAATAGGCCACGTGCTGAAGAAGGCCCAAATTAAAAGTACCCGTAACCGGCGAACGTGTATGAAAAGATTGATGGATGTGGAGGAAGCGAAAGAGGTTTGGTTGAATCGAAGCATTTGACGTTCCGTTGTTTCTGCCTACCCTAATGGGAGACAGGCGTGACAGATATGTATGAATGTATGTATAAACAAATGTCTCTTCAAAATCTTTTGTTTGTTTTAATTTGAACTTATTGAAAACTACTATTAAGAGATATAATAACTATTGAGTAACCTGTAAATAGAGCTAGTTTTGTTGACTCAACAAATAATTAAAAAGTCCCCTTTTAAAAATATACTTACTTATAATTATATAAGAAATTAAGCAATAAATAAATATTTCTCTCTTTCTTTCATTCAAAGTGCGAAGCCGCCGGATATAGGTAGTCAGGAAAGCAGAAATAAATTGAAATTATCCCCAAAAAAACCCTTTTATTATATTATTTTACAAAATATAAATATTAAAATTAATATAAGTTTTTTTTTTTTTTTATATAACTTAGCGTTTGATACAACATTAATAAAGACCAGTTAATAGAAAAGTCTACGAATATCTTTTGAAAAAGCTGTGAAAGCAGTTCATCATCTTCACCATCATCACTCTTGATCTCTGTCGTTGTTTATTTGTGTTATCGTATATAATCTATAAGTATATAGGTATATTTATATATGTATATTTATATTTGTATGTATGTATTTTTATTATATATTTGTATATTTATATAATATTTGTTTAATGTATTCATCATAATGTGCAATAGTTCTCTATTGTATGTGTTGTAATTTTTTTCACCGCATAATAAAATTTCTCTTTTGCCAAAGGTTGACTGCGAGAGAATGCTATATAGTATTAAGTCCTCCTTTTGTACCAGACATTTTTTTTTTGTAATGTGGTCAATAAAGTATAAATAAATAAATACTCCGGTAATTAATATATTTATCAGTTTTTTTTTTTTTTACTTTAAATAGATATAATAAGATTTACAGAGCAATGATAAGACAGTCTTGTAGTAGTACAGTATAGTGTCACACAGAGGGAGAGGGCGTCTCCACCGAGCGATTAATATAAAATATTAATTTATAGATAGATACTCTTTATTGTTTCCTCCAAAAGATAACAATAGTAAACTTATATATATACAAACAATTACAAGAAATAATCACAGTGAGAAAACAATGGGCGACCTTATCGCTAAGAGCGATCTCTTGCCGGCAACTGTTGGATGGAGAGGAGCAATTATAAACAATTTGGTGGGAGGAAAATTTTGTTAGTTCTAAATATGGGAGATGTGATACATATAATAATATAAATATAATCCCTACTCATTATGTGTGATTTTGAATTCAACGATGACCTTTCTTTCCTTCGTCAATGCCCAGAGGAGCCAATATTTTTTTTAATTAGTATCGAGAAATAATTCTTGTAAAAAGTAATGTACAGTGGTACCCTGCACTTTGGTTGTTTTGTTAAGAGAGGGACTGGCTGAAAACCAGCGCTGTGCATCTGTTCACATTGCGCTGGGACACTCACAGCATCCGCTGAGCCGGTTCCCTTTGCCGGGTGTGGGACACTTTTTGTATATGTTATTTATATTTTATATTGTAAGTATACTGGCAATCAATGTTTCTATTCTATTCTATTCAATATCGGTTATGCCTAATGACTACAATGTCATACCATATCAGCCTTACTCATAAGGTGTTCGTCCAATCCAGTCGCAGTTGGGCTTTCGTGTTGTTTTAAGAGGAACGCTACTGTCAATCCTTCGCTTTCCCTTAGTCGCATCTTACGACACCCACGGGAAGGAAGGGGTGGCCCATTCTATACAGTTTTATTATACTTGAACACCCCAAAATACTCTTTAAAACAGAGCGGACCCGAGCAATAAATGTATATACATTCCATAAGGAGTTTCAACTTTATTCCTGTGCATTTTCGTCCTTATCAAAGTCATAAGTAGGCCAACAAACGCCAGCTGCCGCTACGTTGTCCGACGGACAATTGTACGTAACTAAAATTCCGTTCTTTTGATCAGAGGAAGGTTTCTCCGCGGTTTCGATTGAATTTGGACTCGCGACGTCAGTGTTTTTGTCCAACGTTTTCTCTTCATTGTTTCCAGACATGTTTGATTACTTCTCTGTTCTGTTACTCCTTTGTATGGTTACTGCCCTGTTTGATTACTTCTCTGTTCTGTTGCTCCTTTGTATGGTTACTGCCCTGTTTGATTACTTCTCTGTTCTGTTGCTCCTTTGTTTGGTTACTGCCCTGTTTGATTACTTCTCTGTTCTGTTACTCCTTTGTTTGGTTACTGGCCTGTTTGATTACTTCTCTGTTCTGTTACTCCTTTGTTTGGTTACTGGCCTGTTTGATTACTTCTCTGTTCTGTTACTCCTTTGTTTGGTTACTGCCCTGTTTGATTACTTCTCTGTTCTGTTACTCCTTTGTTTGGTTACTTCTCTGTTCTGTTACTCTTTTGTTTGGTTACTCCTCTGCTTTTATATTCTTCTATTAGTGTAATTTCGTGTCGAAACTGAAAATAAAGTTTTATAAATTTATTTTATTTATTACATTAATTTATCATAAATATAAAAGTTTGTAAAGATGTTTGTTAATCAAGGTTAAATGGCTGAATCGATTTGAATAAAATTTACTACACGGGTTGGTCGTGTCCTAATTTAATAGATACATATGGCGCTTTATAAACTGACGCATGCGGGCGAATCCCGCATTTTATGTTTGACTAACAAAATAAGTCTTTGTTACTTCATTTTTTTTTTTTTTTTGTTAAAACTGACCAAAGTAGTAATAATAATAAATCTTTATTTCACTCATTGTTACATTATAGTGCGAAGTCCCTAATTCACACGGTAGGTATGAAAAAACCTTGGTTACAGGAGTAAACCCTTCCTTGCATAATGATGGAAATCTCCATCATAACATTGAATGCCTAAAAATTATATAAAAGAACATGTTCACTTTGAGTTGGCCGTGTCTAGATACCTTTTTAATGTCCATTGCAAAAAAAAAAAACAAAACATAGCTGTCAAATTAATTTTTTTAACCATTTTTCCTTTAACTTTGAACATGAATTATATTTACCAATAAAAAAAAAATATGCAAAGAAGGGTTAATGCCCTCTTTCATATGTTGTTGAATTATATTTTTAGTAAAACAAATACAAAAATAAACAAATACTAACTAAAGTCAGGTTATTGGTTATTGGGCTGATATATCCTTATAGGAAAAGACCTCTAAATAATATTGATTTAAAAATAACCCATGATAAAACACACAGATGAACGACAAGATATTCGTGTATATATATATATATATATATATATATACTTTTGTATTTTTCAATGCTAAATTATAATAAAACAAAAATAAAAAAAAACATAAAAATAAGAAAAAATTTAGGGGTGGGTCACCCTTATCATTGAGGGGTAAGAAAAATAGATGTTGGCCGATTCTCAGACCTACCCGATATGCACACAAAATTTCATAAAAATCGGTATTTATTACTTCGTAACAAGCTTTGGCTCTGCAAATAAAAATGGCGGCTTCATACGTCACATAATTAAGATTGTGTTTCACAAATAAATCGACTTCAGTTGTGCCAAAACTAGTTATTTCATTTAAAATTTTCATTTAAAAACTAAATGATTGAAACTGTTTTGAGAAAACTTCTACGGGACCAAACTGTAAGTATTTACAAGAATATCTCTTTTTTATCTAAAAAGATATACATCCTTTTAGATAAAAAAGAGTTATTCAAATCGGTTTACAACTGACGCAGTTATGAGGTAGCAAACATTTTAAAATGGCATGTCCGTGTGGTCCCGGCATAGAATAGGCCACCCCTTCCTTTCCTGTGGGTGTCGTAAGAGGCGACTATGGGAGGGCGAGGGATGGGCAGCAGCGTCCCCATTAAAACATCTCTGAAGCCTAACTGCAGTTGCCAGTCCGCCTGCCAAGCGTGCCAACTACTGGCAAAACCCCACCAAGGGGTAGGCTTATGTTCAGCAGTGGACGGTTAAAAGCTGATATGATGATTATGAAACATTTAAAAGATACAACCGAATTGAGAACCTCTTTTTTTTAAGTCGGTTAAAAAATAACATAAGATCTAAGTGGCGATAAACCATTGTCATTTGCAAAAAAAAAAATGTAAACAATAAAAGCGATACAAAAATATTAAGAATGTGTTTGAAAGAGAAAGGTAATCAGTACTTATTTTTTATTATTTTTTTATACAACTTAGAATGGCAAACAAGCTGACGGCCCACCTGATGGAAAGTGGTATACTGTTTCGCCCATGATACCTCCCATGCGTTGCCATTCCTGAGGACTCAGGTGTTATTCCTCTGTACCCTGTAAATTCACTGCCATATTCCACCCTTCGAACCGAAACACAGCCATGCAAACACAACTGCTTCACGGTTGAAACTCGAATGGAACAGAGGTATCCAAGCAAACGACCTTTTTACAAAGTCTCCCTCTGGTAAATAATTAAAAATGGCCATGAAATTTTGATATAAATAAATAGGTCGGTTTTTTTTTTATTTAGAATCGATTGAAAATAAATATTATAAGCAAAGTAGATAAAACTTTAAGAAATCAGTTCAAAGTACGATAGGGCTGATACACTTGAAGCAGGTAAAAGGCCCTTAAAATTAAAATAGGCGAATAAATAAATATTATATTGAGTACGTACCACTGCAGAGATGTGCACTCGACGGACTCCAATAACAAACTGAATTTTATTTTCTCATTACGTCGCTTATAAATAAATTGTGGTTGCAGATTAATAATGACCACTCGTTCAGGGAAACATGTAGAAAATACTATCGGAGATTGGAATTCGAGTATTACGTTATAATTACACCTACACAGTCATGTTTACCTGGTGAACGATTGTACTCGATGGCTGGTTTTTTTTTTTTTTTTGATGGGTGAAAATGGTATGGTAACCCCACCTGCGCTAACGGGATACGCTGGCGGAGCACAAGTGAAGGGTGATAGATGAGAATGAAAACAGGCCAGTTAGCCCATCATGATGAATTCATCAGGAATTTACCATGATAGTTTCCAGGGAGAACCGCGATGTCGACATGGTTGGGTATATTGCTAGCAATGGGATTCTCAGACTCCATTACTAACAATCCCTTTCCCCCGCTCAATGGCTGGTTGAGATTGTGTTTTTTACTAAAAGGTGACAACAGTGCATTTTTTTTTTGTTAATTTTCAAAGACAATTTTTAATAATTCCTATTGATTATTTTTATACTAATCATTAATAACGCATACATTTATTGAAAATTTAAAAATCCCTCAATACAAACAAACTTATAATAAAATTAAATTCGTCAGGTCCTAAGTACCAGTCGTCACTTCACTTTTCTCATCAATCTAGCTAGCGCAATTATCAGACAAAAAATATTTGCAAATTTTTAGTTTTTATTTCGTTAATTAATAATCCTCATTCCATTTCAATATATTGTACATACGCACGCACGCACACACGCACACGCACACACACATAGAGCAGAGAGAGAGAGAGAGACGCAGAGACAGACATACACACACAAAGCACGCAGAGACGCACACATTACATTGTCAGCGAGCTATTTTATTTTCAAAGAAATCGTGACAGAGAGAGAGAGAGAGACACAGAGACAATACATACACACACAAAGAAACAGATACTCTCATACAATAAACCTATTTCATTGAATACGCAATTTGTTGTTTTGTTTTGAAATCAGAATGTAATTTCAATTAATGAATTAATATATTTACATTATATAATATCGCACTATTGTAATATACCTACACAATCATGTTTTCCTGGTACGTGATTTTGATGAGTAGCAGTTTAAGTGCGTTCACGCATTGGTTTTTACTAAATTGTTGGTATTACTGAAGTGTATTTTAACTAACGGTTTAAATTACGTGTAATTAAATCAAGCAAGTTCAACTAGTTTCGGAATCAATCCGTTACCCTTAATCGTGAGCAGCTGCGACGCGAGCGCCAGCTGTCAGCGCTCGAAGCATTGTCACAGATAAGATCATTTGTTCATGATTGACAAAAGTACAAGTCTAGTTTCTATTAATTATGTCATTCCCATTAAAAGTGTGTTAAATTTTATTCTAATTTCGAGAACATAGCATTTTCTATATAAAAATAACAAATTAATGGTCGTCCCGTGGTCGAAATTCGATCATAACATTAATTGTAATAAATGAATGTATTATGGTCACGTTCGACATTCAGTGAGACTATGGACAAGTAATGTTAAAGGCAAACAATATTAATCTATTCTCAATTCGACCGCAGACTTTAACAATATACAAAAGAGTACAATATGAGTGTGTGTGTCAAATACATGGTAGTGTGTGTAATGTTTTTTTTTATTGATTTATTCTATTTTTTATGTATAATTTTGAAAAAAAAAATAGCGTTCGGTGCTCCTTCTCTATATAAACTATAAGTGTGCCAAATTTTATATAACTCCGTCCGCGCAATTTTAGTAAAAAGGGGGTACAAAGTTTTTGCTTTACGTATTAATATGTATATGTCACCGTTAGATTACAATCTGTCTCGCGAGATTGTAAACTGTCGAAAGATTGTGAACCGTCGCGTACTGCTTACAATTTGACGTATTATTTTTCGGTACATTATAATCTATCGAAGTGAAACCGTCAAATTGTGAAATGGCATAAGACGGAACGTATCTCGCGCAGTATGCGACGATTCACAATCTTTCGACAGTTTACAATCCCGCGAGATAGATTGTAATCTAACGGTATTTACAATCTATATATATATATACATATAGCATGCGGCTCACCTGATGGTAAGTGACTACCGCCGCCCATGGCCAGGATATATATATATATATATATATATATATATAATAAACAGTGATTTTAATTAATTTAAAATTTTTTATATATTTAATATGCTTTTTCTTTCGATACGTGCTCGTTTTTCCCATGGTAATTTTAAAAGGAAATATTTCAAGCAGGATAAATCAATTGTATCGCATTTACTTATTGACGTCAAACAAATAATTCGTCTTGTAATCTATCTTCTTCTATACTTATAATAAATCTGTAGAGAGGTCAATTCTGTACATGAAATATATTTCCAAAATAACTATCAGCGGGTGATTAGTGATCGATACTGATGCCAAAAATGCAATCAGTAAAATTTTTGTCTGTCTCTCTGTATGTTCGTTATAGAAACAAAAACTACTCGACGGATTTTAACGAAACTTGGTACAATTATTCTTCATACTCCTGGGCAGGTTAAAGTATACTTTTCATCACGGTACGATCAATAGGAGCAGAGCAGTGAAAGGAAATGTTGGGAAAACGGGAGAAGTTACTCCATTTTTAAGCTACCGTCGCGTGTGCAGCCTTAATGGTCACTTTTTAAAATGTAAAAATGTCCACCCGTGCGACGCCGGGACTAAGCCGGCCGCTAGTTTATTAAATAATTCTTTATTCTTTTATTCTTTATTGTACACAAAAGGTTATTGAAATGTAAAAACAAACATAATGGTGCACAAGGGCGAGCTTATCTCCAATAGAGATTTCTTCCAGCAAACCCAATATGAGAAAACTGACAGTACATTAGTAGTTACAGTCATACATGTGTACCGATCGACTTATAATGTTATAGTTAAAGATAAAGAAATAAAATGTCTTTACAATTGAAAATACCGATAGGTATATATATATATAAGTAAATACAATAAATGTATTTAATGTCAGGTTGCCAGTGATAATAATTCGTGTACGAATAATTCTTATGTGATTCAAACTTATTGATAAACCTACTGTGTAATACATTGTACTAATAAATAGTAAATGATACTAAATTATCCTTATTTAAAATCGTAATTTTTCCACTCTTTCCATGTGGTTTTTTAAACATCCATAGAAACCTTGCCCTGACAATTACAACATGATCATCTTCCTACCCTCATCCCAATTATTGTTTGGGGTCCTTTTTTTAATGGGTGAAAATGGATTGGTAACCCCGCCCGCGCTATCGGTATACACCGACGAAGCACCAGTGGAAGATGACAGGTGAAAATGATTGCAGGTCAGTTGGCCCACCATGATGAATTCGACAAGAATTAAACATGATGAGGGGGAATCGCGTAGAGGTCAACCTGAGAGGGTATATTGCTAGTAATGGGGCTATCAGATCCCATTACTAACAATCCCTTTTCCCCCTATTGTTTGGGGTCGACGTAATATGTTTTTTTTGTCTATATTACAAAAAGATTTGGCTTATAGTTTTAAGACCGGCCGCCTGCCTGACGTCAACTCTGTTTGGGAATACATTTTCAAAACTAGAGTTAGCCAAAAATGTATCAGTAGCAGTTAAATAGAGTAAACCAGTAACAATACTCGGTAGTACCCATTCTAGTATGATACCACCATCATCACCATCACCAGAGAGAGACTTTGTACAAAAGTCGATTGCTTGGGTACCTCTGTCCCGTTCGTGTTTCTACCGTGAAGCAGTTGTGTTTGCATGACTGTGTTTCGGTTTGAAGGGTGGGATATGGCGTGAATTTACAGGGTACAGAGGAATAACACCTGAGTCCTTAGGAATGGCAACGCATGACAGGTATCATGGGCGAAACAGTATACTCTGTTATGTCCATGGTACTGCTCATGTCTATAAGCGACGGTTACCACTTTCCATCAGGTGGGCCGTCAGCTTGTTTGCCATTCTAAGTTGCATAAAAAAGATCTCCATATCTGGCCATGAGTATAAACACGGCACGCTAAACATATTCTACCAATAAACAGAATTTAATTCGGACATGTTGTCCACTTTGTTTCAGGTTGATCCGAATGGACGACGCGGCAAATTGGAGAAACAGCATTCTTTCATTGATAATGGTTTGTAATTTTTTTTTATTTTTTTTTATACCACTGAGGTGGCAAGCATACGGCCCACCTGATGGTAAACGGTTACCGTAGCCTATGAACGCCTGCAATACCAGAGGTATTACGCGCGCGTTGCCGACCCTGAAGAAACCTCTTTACCCCCTTTCGAAGAACCCCATGCTGTAGTCTCTTGGGAAAACCTCGGCAGGGAGCTCATTCCACATTTGATAAGTTCCACACATTTACTCCCGTGCTGTGTAGGTCCCGGCATAGAATAGACCAGCCCTTCCATTCCAGTGGGTGTCGTAGGAGGCGACTAAAGGAACTTAATGTTAGAGGGATGAACAGCAGCGTATCTCTTAAAACATCTCCAAGTTTAACTCCGGTTGTCAATTTTTCTACCAAGATCTTCCGAATGGTGGAGCCAGTGTTATATATGTTCAGCAGTGAACAGTTAACGGGTGATATGATAATGATGATGATGACGATATGAAGAGATTTTTTTTTATACAACTTAGAATGACAAACCAGCTGACGGCCCACCTGATGGAAAGTGGTAACCGTCACCTATAGACATGAGCAGTACCGTGGACATAACAGAGTATACTGTTTCGCCCACGATACCCCCCATGCGTTGCCATTCCTGAGGGCTCGGGTGTTATTCCTCTGTACCCTGTAAATTCCGATAATAACCGAAACACAGCCATGCAAATACAACTGCTTCACGGTAGAAACACGAATGGGACAGAGGCCAAGCAAACGACTTTTGTACAAAGTCTGCCACTGGTAAGAGATGCATTAGTGCGGTTTGTTTAATGAATAATGATAATGGAATGGTAACCCCGTCTGTGCTAAGAGTATACACTAGCGGGGGCACCAGTGACGGACGGTGAGTGATAAATAGGCAGATAATTTAGCCCCTTGAGATGACTCTACCAGAAATACAGCACGATGGTTTCCAGAGGAGACCATTTGGAGGTTGTTCTGACAGGGTATATTGCTAGCAATGGGACTGGCAGCTCGCATTACTAACGATCCCTTCTCCACGCAAGTGTGGACGGTCAAAATGACGATTGCTAACACGGTATTAGTGTGGAAATGTCAACCCTCACGTTTGAATCACATTACCTGTTTACCATTACCAAGGTTGGCTGCAAGAGATCGCTCTTAGCGATAAAGTCGCCCATTGTTTTCTCCCTGTAATTATTTCTTGAAATTGTTTATATTTATAATAAGTTTACTATTGTAATCTTTTGGAGGAAACAATAAAGAGTATCTATCTGTCTACCATCAGGTGGGATGCGGTCACTTTGATTAGCCCCTGCAAAAATAATTAATTTATTCTTCTAGAATGCGACTGTCAGCCGACAGAGGAATGTCGCGGCAAATGTTGCTGCGACTGTCGCCGACACGACGCTTGCCAGAGGAACACGACAGATAAGGTAACGAACACACCGCAGACAGACACACAAACACATAGAGATTATATTGTTAAATTCTTCAATAAATAAATAAAAATGTGTTTCATAAAAAAAAACGACTTCAATTGTGACAAAACCAGTTTATTTGGTCTAAAAATTATATTACTGAACCGATTTTGATTAATTTGTGTTTTGAAGAATCTGTAAGTATATACTTTCAGATAAAAAAAGAATTTTCCAAAGCGGTTTACAACTGACGGCGTTATGCGGTGATAAACATACAAAAATGCAGCTAAATTGAAAACTCACTTTTTGAAGTCGATTGAAGCGCCTGTGACATCCAGCGTTGACGGATTTGGGATTTTTAGTAATGGAGACTGAGAATCCCATTGCTAGCAATATACCCAACCAGATCGACCTCCTCGCGGTTCTCCCTGGAAACTATCGTGGTTAATTCCTGATGAATTCATCATGACGGGCTAACTGGCCTGTTTTCATTCTCATCTATCACCCTTCACTGGTGCCCCGCCAGCGTATCCCGTTAGCGCAGTACAATACTTAAACTGTATTAATACTATTGTTTTTCTTAATTTTACGGTATTAATAAATAAAACACAGTTTAACATACTAGATATTATAATATTTGTTTTATTTTTCTAAACTAATATTAAAAAATGAAAAAAAAAATGGTTTTTCTTTTGTTTTGTAACAAAATAACTCAAAATACATTTAAATAATTATAAAAATTCTTCCACCTATAAAAAGTTACATTATCAGCGAGTAACATACATACATATATATCTATCACGCCTGTCTCCCATTAGGGTAGGCAGAAACAATGGAACGCCAAATGCTTCGATTCAAACAGACCTCTTTCGCTTCTTCCACATTCAGCGAGAGTAACATGGGTTATATTTTATTTTGAAAACTAGTTGTCGCTAGTTTATACGTAATTTATGTATTAAAGATTTTTTTTAAGTAACTTACAATGGCGAACAAGCTGACGGCCCACCTAATGGAAAGTGGTAACCGTCGCCTATAGACATGAGCAGTACCATGGACATAACAGAGTATACTGTTTCGCCCATGACACCCCCCATGCGTTGCCATTCCTGAGACCCAAAGTGTTATCCCTCTGTACCCCACCCTTCAAACCTAAACACAGCCATACAAACACAACTGCTTCACGGTAGAAACACGAATGAGACAGAGGTGCCCAAGCAAACGACTTTTGTACAAAGTCTCCCTCTGGTAAACTTATTAAAATGGCCAAACAATAATGAATGAGAATACCGCTAGGGGGCGCCAATCAAACCAGCCCTGAACTGAAAAAGGGCCAAGTTAACTTGGCCCTTTTAAGATGATTGATGAATTTGGAGGAAGCGAAAGAAGTGTGTTGGTTTTATCTAGTCAAAATGAGATACCTATACATATTTGTATTTCCAGATCGCATCGTCGTCCGAACAGAAAAATTCAAAACCTACGAGCCCGTGCAAAAACCGTTACGAACAAACCAATCACACACAAGAAGCAATACACGAGACTAATCAGAAACAACCCGAGACCAATCACCATTCGAATTACGAATCGCCGACCAATCAGAGAGCGGACTACGAAACGCTGACCAATCACAAAACGACCCACGAAAGCAATCCGTTGGAAGTGTCAGAATCGTTGAATGCCTACGATAGAGCATTCGAAGCGCAAGCCAATCAGAAGCAGTTTGAAAATGCGTCGACCAATCAGAGAGTGGGCAACGATGTGGCGACCAATCAGAGGCCGGCGAAATTGACCAGCCAAGACAGTCAAGAGATGCAGTATCAAACGCACTACCAAGGGATGAGAAATGATGAGGTATATTATTTTCTAAGGGATTATTGAAAAAAATTGTCGCATCATACTGAAGACTAGGCAGCATGATCTCCGACCTTAACCTGTTCTATAACGGAACAAACGTGCTAAAAAAAAAGAAATTGTCGTTCATCTGATTTTTTACATGCTGTACAATTACTTCGCTAATTCTTGGCCGATTTTGACGATTCTTTCACAAACGATAGGGATCTCCTGTGACGAAGACGAAATTATTTCATTACCTACTTCCATTGTAGAATAGGTCGTGAACATATTTTGTTAATTAATAAAAATTCCAGGTGAATTCTCCGGGTCAACCCGGACATATCCACAACCACTACACCCCGGACATGGTCATGCAAAACCTAATGGCTCAAGCTAAAGTCACGCCAATACCCATTCAGGACCCTGCCTTACGTAAGTACCACACGTCCAATTTGCTTAAGCCCAATGCAGGTGATTTTTTTTTACAACACAGGGAGCAAACGAGCATGCGGCTCACCTGATGGTAAGCGACTACCGCCGCCCATGATCACCCACAACACCAACGGCATTGCAGGTGTGCTGCCGGCCTTTTAAAAAGGAATATGCTCTTTTCTTGAAGATTATGTTGTCGTATCGGTTCGGAAATACTGCTGCTGGAAGTTGATTCCAAAGAGTGGTTGTGCGTGGGAGAAAGTGCCTTGTAAAACGCACGGTGAAGGACCGCCATTCGTCCAGATGGTTGGGATGAAACTTTAGTTTGTGGCGGGTTGTACGGTGGTGAAAATCAGCAGCAGGTATCAATCCGAACAATTCCTCATTGTTCGGGCCCAGTTAAAGTACAATGTTTAAATATAATATGAAATAACACAAGAGAGAGTAAGAAAAGTGTAGTCCCGGCGTAGAATAGGCCACCCCTTCCTTTCCCGTGGGTGTCGTAAGAGGCGATTAAGGGACGGCGAGGGATTGGCAGCAGCGTCCCTCTTAAAACATCTCTAAAGCCTAACCACGGTTGCCAATCCGCCTGCCAAGCGTACTACTAATAGCAACTACTAATGTAATTTGTTTAACATTTTATTAGTCAATAAAGTTTAAATAAACAAATGGATTTATTTATTCCAGGACCAGTTCCCGGAGCGAACGTGATGTACCCAACTGTGCCACAAGGATACCATTACGTGAACCCTTGTAGAATGGTAAGTAACACCTCGGCCCACATTTGCCCACATTCGTCCGTCAATGCCTCAGTTGCTGGACGCTGCAGTAATGTACTATTTCTTATATATCTTCCGTGTACAGACAGCGACCTGTTACGATTGTATTATATGTATTGATTACTTTCCAGGAGCAGCCAGTTCAAGCTATATATCAGCAGGTGGTGCCAGCAGAGGAGCAGAAACAACTTGCGCCGTCCCCACACGCTACAGAAAGCACCTTCAGAATCGGTATGTAGTTGGGGTTCTTTAGATGGGTGAAAATGGTATGGTAACCCCGCCTGTACTAACTGGATACGCTGGCGGAGCACCAGTGAAGTGTGATAGATGAGAATGAAAATAGGCCAGTTAGCACATCATGATGAATTCATCAGGAATTAACCATGATAGTTTCCAGGGGGTACCGCGAGGAGGTCGACCTGGCTGGGTATATTGGTAGCAATGGGATTCTCAGTCTCCATTACTAACAATCCCTCCCCCCCCCCTTGTAATTGAGGTTACCTATGCCCTTTTCCATAGGCATGCCTATTTAAGGGAAGGGGACAAATGGTTTTTTTTAATGGATAACAATGGAGTGGTAACCCTGCCTGCGCTAACGGTATACGCTGGTCATCAGTGAGGGATGATAGGTGAAGATGAAGCAGGTCAATTGGCACATCGTGACGAATTCAACTAGAATTAGCCACGATGGTTTCCTGGGTGAACCAGGTGAAGATCGACCTGACAGGATATTGTTAACAATGGCACTGGCAGTCCGCATTACTAACAATCCCTCCCTCACTCTCCCCCCCCCCCACCCCCGCGGGTCATAACGATTAGGTTTGAGTGAAAGCCAGTAAAAATGCAATTGTTCCTATTTTAGACCCGAGCTACGCGCTAGCAAACATGGCGGCGGTGGGTGCAGTGGAGCTGGGCCCGCAGTGCGGCGCCTGCGTCGACCCCAACGTTCACCCGCATGCCAGGAGGTGAGTATGCTGTGTCTTTGATCACCTCCATGGGGCAATAGTGGGCACGTTCTTTCTCATCACCATATCAGCCTTTAACCGTTCGCTGCTGAACATTAGCCTCCCGTTTTGAAGCCAGTGGTTGCCACGCTTGGCAGTCAGATTGGCAACCGCAGTCAGGCCCTAGAGATGTTTTAAGGACGCTGCTTTCTGTAAAGTCCCAGGTACAATATCCGACCGAACCAATTTAGTAAACGATCTTTTTTGATTATGTTGGGCCTAATTTAAAAGTAACACGTGTCGCAAGACATGCGTGAGCAAAATGGCGGTCGGAGATTGATGGCTAACATGGAAAGTTGTGGAACTTCTAGCAGTAACAGTGTTGGTAATCACACGCATACTAATGGTAGCGGAATTAAACAAAACAATTCAAATTAAATAACCAGTGATCTAATTTGTTGCATGTTTGCAGTTACAACGTGCCGTATGGACAGGTGGAAGTGCCAGCCGTACTACCGCCGTACCTCGGCAACGTGGTGCTACCGCAACCGCAGCCGCAACTGCAGCCGCAACCACACCTGCAACCGTACACGGTATGTGATACATCCCCCTAGGGGGGAAAGGGATTGTTAATAATAGGGCTATCGTCAGCTTGTTTGCCATTCTAAGTTGCATATAAAAATGTATATAAGCAATGGTTACCACTTTCCCATGAGGTTGGCCGTCAGCTTGTTTCCCATTCAAAGCATCGTATATAATTTGTGCTTTATTACAAAGAGAGTAAGAATTATTTTGAACATTATATGTTACAGCAATACGGTGAACCGCTACAGTGGCAGACGGGGGGCCCTCTAGTGCCCCTGGGGGCACCGCCGAAGTTACTAGTACCAGATCTCTACCCCGTGCTGTACCCCAATCTGTATCCACAGTACAACCTCGTCTACCCGCAGGTAAGTCTAAAAATATACCTAATCTAGAATAGAACGACATTTTATTGTATTTTTTTATACCACAAAGGTGGCAAATAAGTATACAGCCGTCTGATGGTAAACGGTCACTGTAGCCTATGGACGCCCGCAACACTAGGGGTGTCACGTGTGCGTTCGTGACCCTGAAGAAACCTTAATATATCTTTTTTGAACAACTACATATTGTAATCTCTAAAGAAATCTTGGCAGGGAGCTAATAATACTAATTTATAAACTACATATTATCACCAGAGGGAGACTTGGTACAAAAGTTGTTTGCTTGGACACCTCTGTCCCATTCGTGTTTCTACCGTGAAGCAGTTGTATTTGCATGGCTGTGTTTCGGTTTGAAGGGTGGGATATGGCGTGAATTTACAGGGTACAGAGGAATAACACTTCAGTCCTCAGGAATGGCAACGCATGGGGGGTATCATGGGCGAAACAGTATACTCTGTTATGTCTATGGTACTGCTCATGTCTATAGGCGACGGTTACCACTTTCCATCAGGTGGGCCTTTACCATTTTAAATTATAAAAAAATAAAATAGATGATAATTAAACGATAGTTGCCAGTTAACCCATCATGCCGAAAGTAGCAATAAATCAATCTCAGAGGGAACCGCATGGAGGTTGACCTGATAGAAGAGTATATTGCTAGCAATGGGATTGCTAATTTCCATTACTCACAATTCCTTCTCCCCTCTCTCACTGTTGTAAAATTCTCTGTTTACATTGCCACAGGTGATACCCCAGCCGTACCCAGTGTGCCAGCCGGTGTACCCCGCAGCAGGATCAGAGCAGGACGGTCGCCGCGGCAGCCAGGCGGGCGGCAGCCAGCGCCACTCCAAGCGGAACTCCGTCTGCGGCTCGTCCAGGCACACGCCTCTGCCCGCCACGCCCGACGACAAGCACGTGCCTTACCGCGACAATATGCACACGAACACGCAAGGTCAGTCGCTGTCAGTCAGTGTCAATCAGTCAGTCTTGCTAATTTTTAAACAACAACGATATATTAATTTTAAACTTTTTTTTTTTATTTATTCTTTATTGTACACAAAAAAAAAATTACAACATATATATAAAATAAAGATGTAAAACAGGCGAGCTTAACTCTGTAAGAGTTCTCTTCCAGCAAACCCTGAGTGGAAAGGAGCGTTAATTATTTTTTTTTGTTATGGAACACAGATATGCAAACACAACTGCTTTACGGTTGAAACACGAATTGGACAGAGGTACCCAAGCAATCGACTTTTGTACAAAGTCTCCCTCTGATAAAAATAAATATATTTTTCCAATTATTTCCCTTACAAAATGTACAAGACCAACTCTTTGTCAACAGTACCCGAAAAGAACTTAAGCCGCCAGAATTCAAACGAGATAGCGGCCAAGATACAGCAGATAAAGGAACAGATGGCAGCACTGAACACCGGCCCCGGGACCAAGGAGCGGGAGAAGTTCCGGCCCCGGGACGAGTGGAAGAGGCGGAACAGCGGGAACGGAATCCTGGGCAGTTACCCCCTAGGGGGAAACCGACCTGTGGGCACGCCCGGGTGAGTGAACGTATTGGCATAGATAATATTATATTTTTTTTTATTAACACAGGGACAAATGAGCATCTTTAATGTAATAGGTTTGTTTCCAAGCACTTTTAAATCGATCTTTTTTTGAATCTACTGCTGGGTTCGGAAAGTTGTTATCTGTCGTGAAGAGCCCGCGAGAAACTCAACAGTTACTGTTTTAAATAAAATAAAATTTATTTGCCAGAGATATCGTTGATAAGATGTTACACTTGTCAAGTTTACAAGAAGTCCATTATGTTTTGCCTCAATAAAATGTAATTTTTTATTGCAACTTAGAATGGCATATAGGCTTAACATACACTTATATTTATTTACATGTCTATATCTAAAATTACATGCTGATGATGATAAAAAAAAGTTTCACTCACAAAAATCAACTCATGCGCACCTTTTCCAGAAGGCCGACGCCCAACGATGAAACGCAGCTGTCGTCGGCCGCGCGGGCAATAGTCAATACCATAAGAGACATGCAGGCTAAGAACAATTGTGAGTACATATATAAATAAATAGATAGATAGATACACTTTATTGTTTCCTCCAAAAGATTACAATAGTAAACTTATTATAAATATAAACAATTACAAGAAATAATCACAATGAGAAAACAATGGGCGACCTTATCGCTAAGAGTGATCTCTTCCAGGCAACCTTTGGATGGAGAGGAGTAAATTCTAGAGTAAAATTTAATCGTAATAACTATGCTATGGGTATTATACCTGAAAATAAAAGATTTATTATTATTATTAAAATTTTTTAAAAATTCACATCTCCCCTCTTAAGGAGAGGAGATGGCAAACTAACCCCCGGCAGAAGCACAGTCGGCCGGGGTTCAGGGCCCCAGGGGGGTAATATTATTACAATAATTATGTTTTCAACCGACTTGAAAAAGAAGAAGTTTTTCAATTCGGTTGTATTGTTTTTTATGTCATTATCGTCATATCATGGACATTGGGAGGAGAATTAGCAGAGGGAGACTTTGTACAAAAGTCGTTTCCTTGGCACCTCTGTACCATTCGTGTTTCAACCGTGAAGCAGTTGTGTTTGCATGGCTGTGTTTCGGTTTGAAGGGTGCGATATGGCAGTGAATTTACAGGGTACAGAGGAATAACACATGAGTCCTCAGGAATAGCAACGTATGGGAGGTATCATGGGCGAAACAGTATACTATAGGCGACGGTTACCACTTTCCATCAAGTGGTCCATCACCTTGTATGCCTGCCATTCTAAATTGCATTAAAAAAAATGACGCAAAAGGCACATAACTCAAAGAACCGGCAAGCCATCTGTTGTCGGTTCTTCGAGTTATGTGACCAGCCCATTGCCACTTCAGCTTGCTTATCCTCGGGCTGTGTCGGTTACTTTGATTCTTTTGCGGATATCCCCGTAACAAAATAATAATGATAATAAATTAAATGTAGCAATAATTTTCATGCCTAGTATGTCCAGTGTACGTTTAACGCCATCTAGCGAAACAATTGTGTAACACGTTATAGATCCAGACCGTCGTAACCACGAGTACCAGAATCGGCGGCGGGAGTTCGAGCCGGACCGTCCGGATCGGCCCGAGTGTCCGGACCGGAAACCGGACACGGACGACCGGCGGTACGACGCCCGGAGCCGGAATGTTAACCCGGTGCCGTTTCAGTACCGGCCGCCGTATTTGTTAAGACAGGTTGGTTTATCTGTACGAAACAACCCAACCATAAACTAAGGTTTCATCCCAACCATCTAGACGAGTGGCGGTCCTCCACCGTGCGTTTTACAAGGCACTTCCTTCCACGCACAACCAGTCTTTGGAATCAACTCCTCCTCCTCCTCCTCCTTTTTTTTACGACACAGGGGCCAAACGAGCATGCGGCTCACCTGATGGTAAGTGACTACCGCCGCCCATGATCACCCACAACACCAGCGGCATTGCAGGTGTGCTGGCGGCCTTTTAAAAAGGAATATACTCTTTTCTTGAAGGTTATGTTGTCGTATCGGTTCGGAAATACCTCTTCCTCCTCCTCCTCCTCGAGGTATTGCCAGTAGTTGCCACGCTTGGCAGGAGGATTGGCAACCGCAGTTAGGCTTTTAAAGATGTTTTAAGACGGGCGCTGCTGCCCATCCCTCGCCCTCCTTTAGTCGCCTCTTACGACACTCACGGGAAAGGAAGGGGTGGTCCATTCTATGCCGGCACCACATGGCGACTGATAGACATAATTAAATTTCTTTACTTTATATGCGTAAGTACATGTTATTCATAGCATCCAAAACTAATTAAGTACAATAAAGTTGTCTCTATCCCACCGCCAGATGTCGCCCGGTACGTGGTGCAGACGATCCCCCGGTCCGGTACATCCAGGTAATTGTTTATATATTTATAATCTGTACTATATAATGTTATATAACTAGAAGGTCTAGGAACTTGTCGCTAGAGGGCGGTACCCTCGAAGCAGAAGTAATAGTGGTAGAAATTTTTTTTTTATACAACTTAGGATGGCAAACAAGCTGACGGCTCACTTGATGGAAAGTGGTAACCGTCGCCTATACACATGAGCAGTACCATGGACATAACAGAGTATACTGTTTCGCCCATGATACCCCATGATACTTACATGAGGGAGACTTTGTACAAAAGTCGTTTGCTTGTGCACCTCTGTGCCATTCGTGTTTCAATGTTTGCATGGCTGTGTTTCGGTTTGAAGAGTGGGATATGGCGTGAATTTACAGGGTATAGAGGAATAACACCTGAGCTTCAGGAATGGCAACGCATGGGGGGTATCATGGGCGAAACAGTATACTCTGTTATGTCCATGGTACTACTCATGTCTATAGGCGACTGTTACCAGGTCACATCAGATGGGCCGTCAGCTTGTTTGCCGTTCTAAGTTGTATAAAACAAAAAATTGAGCCATCCAAAAAGAAAAGCGTATACAGAGCAAGATAAAAAAATATTTAGAATAAAAAAGAAAATATTTATTGCCAGAAAAAAATACAATTATATCAGTAAATACATATATATGAAGTATATTAGGCCAAAAGAACTGGCTCAGCTGACGCTGTGAGTGTCCCAGTGCAGTGTGTACAGCTGCACAGCGCTGGTTTCCAACCAGTCTCTCTCTTAACAAAAGGCTACAATTTTCTTTTTTATCGAATTTTATTTCCGATCTCAGTCACACTTCGTGTTTCCCTTATGTCTCATTCTGACAATTACTGCATTAGGAAACATATTTATTAGGACAGCAAGTACTATTCTTAGTCTATGGTTTGTTTTTTTTTTTTTTTTTGATGGGTGAAAATGGTATGGTAACCCCGCCTGCGCTAACGGGATACGCAGGCGGAGCACCAGTGAAGGGTGATAGATGAGAATGAAAACAGAACAGTTAGCCCATCATGATGAATTCATCAGGAATTAACCGTGATAGTTTCCAGGTAGAACCGCGAGGAGGTCGACCTGGTTGGGTACATTGCTAGCAATGAGATTCTCAGTCTCCATTAGTAACAATCGCTTTCCCCCTTAGTCTATGGTTAATGAGTTATAATGAAAACTTTTTTTCCTTTAGTATTAAACCATCCAAGAAGACCACACCCGGACCCTAGAAATGGCAGGCGTTAACAAACAAATCCTACGACTACCTGGCAAATACTACGATACCTACGACTCGACTGGCAATTTTTTTTATTTTATACACATTTATTTATTACTAGACAATGTTGTACCGTCATATCCACTTTAAAATGTTTTAAAGTTTTATTTAATATTTAAATAGAAATGTTATTTATAAATATAATTTTATTCAAATAACCACATACTGCCAGTAGTTGTAGTCATTTATGTAAATTATATAAACATTAATAGTACCGATAGATGGCGCTGTTCAACAATTCGTAACTACTCATCATATTACATTAAAATTGCCATATAAATGTAAAGATTACATATATATACAAACATTGATTTATTTCAATTTTGTGAAAATTTAAAAAAAGAATCTTAATTAACACCATCTATTGGTGTGATCTAGAGCTGTTTTCCGCCATAAATAAATTTGTTGACTTGTGCTAGTGCTATTTTGATCAAATGTTAATCAAAACATATCAATATTAAGTTTAGAAGGAACATTTGATCAAAAAAATATAATCAGCGCCATCTATGCGTAAGCCATGGACAAGTGATAATAAATTGTTATAATTGCAAGTAAGTTGGAATTTAATCATAGATTGTGTTATAAAGTATTTTACCAGGCAATTGACATCAGTTTGTAAGACGCTAGATGTCGCTATTGGTTTGAGTGACTTTTTTTTTTTAAATAGATGTAATGTATAGAACTTCCAGATCAATTCAAATATATATACAGATTTCTGTATTTTACAGGAATCAAAACCGCAACCATTATCAACTAAATCACAGTATTTTTTTTAAATAACGACTAGCATGCTTAATTGAAAATAGCGCCATCTAGCGAATCGCAACGTTAGACAGGACCATAGACAATCAAACTCGATAACAGAGCACAGTTTATGGGAACCGAAAAGCCCTCGTCAAGATCTCACAAGTGAACGCGAACTAGTCATTTTTTTTACAAAACTCTAATAGACTTAGTTTTAAAATAAATAAATTTAGTATCCCACGACGGTTTTGCGGTTTCCAAAGACAAATTTATCAGTGATTAAGCCAAAAAACGTATGGAGAGTATGCCATAGAGATGCTACGAGCGTATGCATTACGAAATTGCATTAGAATACCAGAGGGAGACTTTGTACAAAAGTCGTTTGCTTGGACACCTCTGTCCCATTCGTGTTTCTACCGTAAAACAGTTGTGTTTACATGGCTGTGTTTCGGTTTAAAGGGTGGGATATGGCAGTGAATTTACAGGGTACAGAGGCATAACAACTAAGTCCTCAGGAATGGCAACGCATGGAGGTATCATGGGCGAAACAGTATACTCTGTTATGTCCACGGTACTGTTCATGTCTATAGGCGACGGTTGCCACTTTCCATCAGTTGGACCGTCAGCTTGTTTGCCATTCTAAGTTGCATAAAAAAAGAATGACGTCATTCAGGGGATGGGACAGAGGTACCCAAGCAATCGACTTTTGTACAAAGTCTCCCTCTGGTATTCAGTAGTTTAGTTTTTACATTAAAATAATTGGATTTGCCACAAATGAGTTGGGTGTTGTTTTTTTTTTTGTAGACCAAAATCTTTAATTACTTGGAATTCGTTTAACAAAACCAATGTGTTATATTTTTGCCACAATTCGAACGCTCAGGTGGTGGAATGAGCTCCCTGTCGAAGTTTTCCCAAGAGGCTAAACCATGGGGTTCTTCAAAAAATTATTAAATAGCTCTTCAGGGTCGGCAACGCGCGCGTAATACCTCTGGTATTGCAGGCGTTCATAGGCTACGGTAACCGCTTATCAACAAATGGGCAATATGCTTGTTTGCCACCTCAGTGGTATAACCACCGCTTGGAGGTCAACCCGGTTAGTTATATACCCATATTGCTAACAATGGGATTCTTAGTCTCCATTACTAACAATCCCTTCCCCCCCCCCTCCATACGTTGGCTCAGTTACTGATACACTAAACATATTATTGGACCTGACAATAATTATAGTTATTCAAATGTTTTATTTGTATTTAATCGTTGAGAGTACGCGAATTGAATTGTATATTTATTGTATATAATGCTAGACTTTACCCGCGACTTCGCATGACCGATATATGTTCACTAAGCGACATAAAACATAGCCTATGCCCTCCCCCATTCATAAATACATTGAATTTACTGGGTACAGAGGAATAACACCCGAGTCCTCAGGAATGGCAACGCATGGGCGGTATCATGGGCGAAACAGTATACTCTGTTATGTCCACGGTACTGCTCATGTCTATAGGCGACGGTTATCACTTTCCATCAGGTGGGCCGTCAGCTTGTTTGCCATTCTAAGTTGTATAAAAAAAATACAATGACCTTTTACCATCAGACGAATTGTAGATAAGCAAGAAATATTTTTATTCAAGTACACTTAGATTTAAACATTTTTTAATAGTTTTTTTTTTCTATTACTTATACGAGCATACATTTATAATAACTTTCACAAATAAAGGACTTAATGCTAAATAGCATTCTCTTACAGTTAATCTTTAGAAAAAAAAAATTGTAAATACACTAACACTGTAATATTTTAATCTTAACACGTTGAGCGCCATGTCAGCCATCGGTGGCTGACACTAGACTTTCCGTTTAGGCCGCGTCAGCCATCGGTGGCTGACACTAGACTTTCCGTTTAGGCCGCGTCAGCCATCGGTGTCTGACAGCGTGTAACATGAGAACTATAAAATTTTACACTATTTTACGGAATTACAGACAACAAAACAGACTTGGTGCGTAACGTGTTCAATGAATGCCTATAGGAATCACGTTCCAAACGTAAACTACCTTCTACTACGATAGGAAACACCAGCTCCTGCAGTGCCAGCGCTTCGAAGCGGCGCGCGTGGCCTGAACGGGATTGCTGTAGAAATACGCGTGGCGCTCAACGTGTTAACAGATAATATAAATTTACACAATACATATAAAAAATACATATATTTTACTCTCCTATGTTCTAAAATGTCTCCCCGTTGATGTGTCCCCAAAAGGCTACGGAATGGGTTTCTTCAAAAAAAAAGGGGTAAGAAGGTTACTTCAGTGTCAGCAATACGCGCGTACTGACCGCTTACCGTCTCGTTGGCCGTATGCTCGTTTACCACCATTTTTTTATACCACCAGTGGTATAAAAAAATATCAAATAATACAATTCAGTCCGCGTCATCTCGTCTCATTATTATAAGTTGTACATTATCATAAGTTTTATATTTAATTGTCTAGTTTATAATTTATTTAATTTTTAAAACGCATACGAAAACACGAGTATGTACTCGTATGTTTTAGATCGTTTTCAATATTCAAGAGATTTGGTAATAATAAACTATTTAGAGACTCTGAGAGATTTTTCGAGTCTTAGAGACTCTGCTATTAAACTCGAGTCTAAACTCAGCTACATTATTATAATAATACGGGATGTATTATTAAAATAATCAGGCTGAGTTTATTTTATTAATACGAACCTCAGACTTTTTAAATTTGCCCATACAAAAGTCTCTAACTTGTTAACTTTAATACAACAAGTCTTTATTCGTCATGACATAAATATTGCAAATTTAAGGCACGTATCAATAAAAGAAACTCAGCCAGACTGTTAAAATTTGCTTATTTATAGACAGTAATAATAAAAAAGGCTTAGCATATATGTGTACAAAAATATATGTGTGTGTGCGGTCTTATATTAATAAAAAAAACTCAGCGCGATTATTGAAGCTTGAGTTAATTACATTGAAACGTGATTTCAAAGATTCAAACCAAACCTGAGTTTTGTTTATTAAAAACTATTATTTTAGCTCATAAGTGATACCTGAACTGTTTAGTTCGACTCTAAATGCGTTTTTAATCAACATATTCTTAAATCCACATTCACAATTACTTACACACTTGAGATCGATTGATATAAGTTATAAATTAGCAAGCTTTAATAGTGAACGCTGAGTTTTTTTTATTAATACGAAACTTAGACTCCGCGGGTCTATAAAAGACTGTGCGACTTAAAAAGTCTCAGTCTTTTATAGTCTTTTTAACTTTATGCGCCTCAAAGAGTCAAAAATGTACGCAGTATTTTTGAAAAACTCTCACTACGAGTCTCGCAAGTGTTATTTATTACATTTTATGATTTATTATAATTGTAACATTTTAAAAAACAGTGATTAATTGAGATTTAAATGTCCCGAGAGTTTTTGTTCTGTGTTATTGAAATACGATCGTAAAATAACGTTATGTACTTAAAAGCACGTCGATTTGTAATTGCAGTAAAAATAATAATAATAATATTGAGTTTATACTGAGTTTATTGAGTTTTATCCATTACAAATGATAAAGATAAAAGATGGTTATAAAGATTGACAATTTGTAAACAAACAAAATGAATAATTATTTACATAAAATCAATTACATAAAAGGAAGATAACAGGCAACGGTAGGGTTCGTTTATCGTTGATTCGTCATAGAAAGCTATTTTCGGAAGTATTGATTTTTTAAATCTTAGTTTTAAAACAATTTTAATCCTAATTCAAGTGGACAAAGTCACGGATTGTGACTAGTATTCGTATCAAAGCGTTTCACCTTAAGGTGCTCTTTCTTTCAGGAAATGTTTTTGGCAATTGGAAATCGACGTGTGGTATACTATACATATGTATACATACATATGATTGTTATATCAATTTGGACATTGTGCCCATATTTTTTAAGGATGAAAATGAAATGGTAACCCCACCTGTGCTACCAGTATACGCTGCTACATTAGTAAGAGATAATAGGTGAGAATGGAGGCAGGTCAGTCAGTCTATCATGTTGGATTTGCTAAGAATTAACAACGATGGTTGGGGGGGGGGGGAAGGGATTGTTAGTAATGCGGATTACCACTCCCACTGCTAACAATATACCCTAACAAATCGACCTCCCCGTGATTCACCCTGGAAACCATCGTGCTGAATTCCAAGTGTATTCATCACGATGGGCTAACTGACCTGCTTTTTCATTCTCACCTATCACCCCTCATTGGTGTCCCGACAACGTATACCGATAGCACAGGCGAGGTTGCCATTCTATTATCATCTATAAAAAAAAAACCACGAAGGTTTACCACTGTTAACCGTGTAGAGGTCGACCTAATTTACAAGCTACAAAGTTGTACGGAATTAAATATATGTATATACTAAAAAAAGACATTTGAATAAATGAGAAACACAAGAAATATGTGTGATAGCACGCTCAATGTTGTTGTACTTTACGATGTACTTTGATCAGGTGGTCTACCATAAAACGAAAATCCGAATTTTCGCACTCAATTTCGTGTTTTTGTTCGTATCAAAATCGTTCCAGTGAATGGAGCTTAACATATCGTTCATCATAAATCCTGTCCTAATAGTCCAAAGGAACGATATTTTCACATTTTTAATAATTTTAAACGGCATGTTGTATTATGTAATTTTAACATCAAATTTCTGTTTCGTTCGTGCCCGAAATTTCGGAAAATATTTCATGGTAGGCCTTCAGGTTTCTTTATTAACGATAGATTTGATTCCATATAACTTTGTTCTTTTTTAGGAGCTTCTACATATATATCAAAATATATATTGATATAACAATTGTATGTATGTATTTTAGATTTATAATTTTCGTCTTGTAAAGTCAATTGTTAGGTTTGTAATAATATATATAAATACTCTTAAATAATGAAACATGAAATTGGGGGTTTGCTAGACAGAATTAATATGAAATTATATATATATATATATATATATATATATATATATATATATATATATATATATATATATATATATATATATATATATATATATATATATATATATATATATATATATATATATAATTGGTGCCACAGTATTAGTTGAAATTTTTATATTTTGCTTAAGTAACCGATTTTAAGACATATTAACTATCCTTATTGCAACTTATCAGAAGATTAGAAACATTGCCCACTGCTGGGAAAGATGCTGTTAATCCATCATCTTCCCCAGCAGTGAGCAATCTTTGTGAGCTCACTACACATGCAACTATATTGTATGATTAAAACAGTTAAAAAAAATTTAGATCAAACCGGTTCTACAAGTACCCTGTTTTAGAAGTTACTTGTTATTACTGAAATACTGAGTTACGTATGAGAATTTCTCAAACCAATCTGTTACTTAAACTGGAAACGTACTATCGGACGCGACCATCAGTCGTGACTTACGGACGCGACTGCACAATGTGTACGATTAATCTGCTGTCTCTCTTTCTCTTTAATTACTCTGTATTCATGTTTGTGCGAAACAACAATCGCGCCAAATCGTCGTCTGACGTCCGATGGTTCAAGGATAAAAGTTCACACTTGAAACTTAAGATCGCTAATATGCACAGTTTAATTGTACTCGCTAAGTTTAAGCCACGTCCGTCAACCGCGACTGACAGACGTATCCGATAGTGTGTCACCACGTCTACTCTGTACCCGGCTCTCCCCCGTTCTGTCAAAAGGAACCAACCAAATATGACGTTGACAGTTCAACTGTCAATGTCAGAATGTAAAAATGGCGATGCCCTTAGAGTGGTATTTATATGCAAATTTATTATAACACGTAGAGTATATTATTGTTAATATTAAAGATTTTAGCCTATACACATTGTTTTATTAAACGTCACCAAAAGCCTAACTGCGGTTGCCAACCCGCCTGCCAAGCATGGCAACAACTACTGGCTAGATAAGATAACAGCTAGTATGATGATAATGAAATTGTTTTATTGCGTGTCTAAAGTAAAGGGTTGGCAACGTGATTGTAATGCTCCTGGTACTGCAGCTGTTCATAGCCTACAGTAACTGTTTACCGAGGGGAAAGGGTTACTAGCAATAATGGGGTCAAATAGCCCCATTACTAACAATCCCTTTCCCCCCACTAATCCTTTTAGGTAAAAAAAAAAATTTCCAAATCGGTTTACAACTGACGCAGTTATGAGAGATTACAACTGAATTTAGAATCTTTAAATGTCGATTCAAAACAAGCTGTGATTGAAATAAGGATTCAATTATTCATGACTCACTCCGTCTTGTGTTTATTTATATTATTAATCTATTTAATTTAGTATAGTTATAAACAGTGTCTGACGCAACGGCGTTCATTTGAAGTAAGTCTTACATTTTATTTATTCATTTAATACTTTATTGTACTTAATTAAACATAAAAATATGACAGAGGTAATCAAATGTACAAAGGCGAGCTTAACTCTAATAGAGTTCTCTTCCAGCAACACGCGAAGTGGAAAGGAGCATCAACGTCAGCGGGTAGAGCGGTGTACAATATTGTGACAATTTACAAAGAAATTTAGTTTGGACACTCTCTGTGTTTCTACCGTGAAGCAGTTGTTTGCATGTCTGTGTTTTGATTTGAAGGGTGGGATATGGCAGTGAATTTACAGGGTACAGAGGAATAACACCTGAGTACTCAGGAATGGCAACGCATGGGGGGTATCATGGGCGAAACAGTATACTCTGTTATGTCCATGGTACTGCTCATGTCTATAGGCGACGGTTACCACTTTCCAACAGGTGGGCCGTCAGATTGTTTGCCATTCTATGTTGCATAAAAAAAAAGAACTAGACAAACTTATGTTTGTATATATATATATATATATATATATATATATATATATATATATATATATATATATATATATATAAGTCAGGCTGCAGCTGAAAATCAGTGCTTGCTTTTAAGCAAAACTATCACTGAGCTGTAAGCCTGTGTGAGTCACTGCGACAAACATGGCTAAAACATATTTTTGTATTTTATCTTTTGTTTTATATTAAAAATAAATGCATTTAATTTGATTGTATGAAGTCAGTTGTTAATTTACATACATAAATAAATCGAATGAAGTGTTTATCTATTTATCAGTCTACTTTGTACTTTTTTTTAATGGATGATAATGGAATGGTGACCCCGCCTGCGCTAACGGTATACGCTGTCAGGGCACCAGTGAAGAATGATAGGTGAGGATGAAGTAGGTCAGTTAGCCCATCGTGACGAATTCAACAAGAATTGTACACGATGGTTTCCAGGGGGAACCACGTGGAAGTCGACCTAATAAGGCATATTGCTAGCAATGGGTCTGTCAAACTCCATTGCTAACAATCCCTTTCTCCCCGCGCAGGCGGGGTTACCATTCCATGCCTTTTTTGTGGAACACAAACTTATTTTTAAATTTTGTACTCATTCACAGACCATTTTTGAAAATGCGCCCAATCGTCGTGTTTATTTGGGTTGCCATGGCGACGGTCTGCTGTCAAGAAAACCGACAACCTGACAACTCCACCAAAACCCGCGACTTTCTGTTGTTCTTAATAGATGTCGCTTTATCCCCGTTTACAATGCATGATGGTAACAACGACAACACGTATGGGAGCTTGTATGGAAACTCTTATTGTCCAGATAGTTACATTATGGTCAACGCCAACTGTCTACCAACTTTATCACAATTGTATATCGATTCGTTCTTTGATGATGATTACTAAATATATATATATATATATATATATATATATTAGTATATTTTGTATACTGTATGTTTTAATCAAATAATAAAAGAGAACCTTTCAAAATAAAGGAAAAATGGCTTTATTACTCACTTACCAAAGGGAGACTTTGTACAAAAGTCGATTGCTTGAGTACCTCTGTCCCATTCGTGTTTCAACCGTGAAGCAGTTGTGTTTGCATGGCTGTGTTTCGGTTTGAAGGGTGGGATATGGTAGGGAATTTACAAGGTACAGAGGGATAATACCTGAGTCCACAGGAATGGCAACGCATGGGGGGTATTTTTTTATGCGTGAAAACGGCATGGTTACCCCGCCTGCGCTATCGGTATACACTAGCGGGGCACCAGTGAGTGGTGATAGGTGAGGATGAAAAGGCAGATCAGTTAGCCCATTGTAACGAATTCAATGATAAATTGGTCACGATAGATTCCAGGGGAAACCGCGTGGAGGTCGACCTGATAGGGTATATTGATAGCAGTGGGGACTAAACTCCCCATTACTAACAATCCCTTCCTCCCGCATGGGGGATATTATGGCGTAACAGTATACTCTGTTACGTTCATGGTACTGCTCATGTCTATAAGCGACGGTTACCACTTTCCATCAAGTGGGCTCTCAGCTCGTTTGCTATTTTAAGTTGGAAAAAAACCCTAAACCGAGACCGTCCTACGCACTCAGTGTTGCCATTCGATAAAGTTAGAGGGCTAATTATTGTGCAAGTATAATAATAAACTTTATTAACAAATACAGGGTTACACAGTTACATTATTTTTGTCCTAGCTTACAAATTAGGGTAACCTGACGGCCTACCATGAAATGTTTTTCGAAATTTCGGAGCCAAACGAAACACAAATTTGATGCTAAAATTACATAATACATGCCGTTTGGAAATATTAAAAATATTAAAATATTGTTCCTTTGCACTTTTATGATAGGATGTATGACGAGCGAAATGTTAAACTCCATTTATTGGTCCGATTTTGGTATAAACACAAATACGAAATTGAGTTCGAAATTTCGGAACTTCATTTCATGGTAAACCCGCTGTGCCTTGTAAGCCAGTTCCTTCCAATACACAAGAACTAATACTTTGTATTTGTACATGTAGAGTTAACATGTATGTATGTATACGTATTTAAATTAATTTATAAATGACTCACACGATGTTATAGTCCTTATTATGACATTACAAACAGGAAAACAATTGTCTAACATATACGTACTGTAATTTATAAAAAGCAGTCGCCACACTGAACTTTATAAGGTTTACCTTATTTATTATTCGATATTATTATATTATTTATTAATTTTTAATGCATTATTTATAAAAAATAATAATTGCACAGTAAATATTAATGAGAAGTGATACAAAAAACGGCATAATCGCTAAGCAATCTCTTCCACACAACCTTTGGGTAGAGGACATTGAGAAAAAAGACAAAGGGTAGGTGGCGCACTATTATATAAATACTAATATAAATATAATATATATACAAACTGGGGGGAAAGGGATTGTTAGTAATGGAGACTGAGAATCCCATTGCTAGCAATATACCCAACCAGGTCGACATTCTCGCGGTTCTCCCTGGAAACTATCATGGTTAATTCCTGATGAATTCATCATGATGGGCTAACTGGCCTGTTTTCATTCTCACCTATCACCCTTCACTGGTGCTCCGCCAGCGTATCCCGTTAGCGCAGGCGGGATCACCATACCATTTTCACTCATCAAAAAAAAAAAAATAAAAACTGGAGGTAACAATAAAGAGTAGGTATCTATCTATCTACTAACATTATAGATCTGAATGTTAATTTATATAAAATAATAAATAAATAAACTCACTTTCACTTTTATAAAAGTGGTAAGGATGTACATGTAGAGTACAGTGTCGCTGTTTGTTTTGGATTTTGTTGTAACTGTCAGATTATTATTGACAACTATGTAGGTAGTCATACCAGAGGGAGACTTTGTACAAAAGTCGATTGCTTGGGTACCTCTGTCCCATTCGTGTTTCTACCGTGAAGCAGTTGTGTTTGCATGACTGTGTTTCGGTTTGAAGAGTGGGATATGGCGTGAATTTACTGGGTACAGAGGAATAACACCTGAGTGCTCAGGAATAGCAACGCATGGGAGGGTATCATGGGCGAAACAGTATACTCTGTTATGTCCATGGTACTGCTCATGTCTATAGGCGACGGTTACCACTTTCCATCAGGTGGGCCGTCAGCTTGTTTGCCATTCTAAGTTGTATAAAAAAAAATACATATAAGATATTCAAGGTAACTTGTAAGAATCTTGATTATAATAAATCAGTGGTTGTTTCAAGCTCTTCTTTCATTGACGTGCTCCACCTATCAAAGTTGACAGTTGCCAACTTGAAAAAAGTGAGGTACGCATACTGTGTTTTTTTTTTATTGATTGCCATAATCCTTACTAATATTATAAATGTGAAAATGAGTTTTTTTTTTTAACGGGATACGCTGGCGGTGCACCAGTGGAGGGTGATAGATGAGAATGAAAACAGGCCAGTTAGCCCATCATGATGAATTCATCAGGAATTAACCATGATAGTTTCCAGGGGGAACCGCAAGGAGGTCGACCTGGCTGAGTATATTGCTAGCAATGGGATTCTTAGTCTCCATTACCAACAATCCCTTTGATTGATGAGAAATCATGGTATAAGGCAGGGGGAGGCACAAAAGATCCGTATGGGTCGACGTGCAACGGCTTAGCTGACCTCATTGCGAAAAATAAGATAAGATAAAAAAACAATCCCCTCCCCCCCCCCCCCAGTGGACATAGTCGCGGTATATTACTAGTACACAATGTTCGTTTGGATAAAATTTATTGCAAGAATATGTTTCATCACGGCTTCATAATAATGGGGAAAACGTATCAGTCGCCGTAACCGCACAGCTCGCTGCGAACGTTCACAAGCGACATTCCAATAGAAAAAGTACCTCGTCATTATCCTTAAGGTAAATGATTTAATTATAATCAAATTAACGCATGTTTTTGTATAATTCCATGTAAATGGTTGATTACAAAACGTTTCTATACACTTAAAGAGGGGGAAGAGATTGTTAGCAATGGAGTTTGACAGCTCCCTAGCTAGCAATATGCCCTATTAGGTTGACCTCCACGTGATTCCCCCTGGAAACCATCGTGAACAATTCTTATTGAATATGTCACGGCGGGCTAATCCATTTTGTGTTCCATTCTGTCTTTTTTTTTTAATGGATGATAATGGAATGGTAACCCCACCCGCGCTATCGGCGGGGTACCAGTGAAGGATGATAGGTGAGGATGAAGTAGGTCAGTTAGCCCATCGTGACACATTCAACAAGAATTGTTCACGATGGTTTCCAGGGGGAACTATGTGGAGGTCAACCTAATAAGGCATATTGCTAGCAATAGGGCTGTCAAACTCCAATATATATATATATATATATATATATATATATATATATATATATATATGTATATATATATATATATACTTAATATATATATTATAAGTGTGTATATATATATAAGAATATGTTCATATATATATATATATATTGCATATATATATTAATATTGGAATATGAGAATATATATATATATATATATATATATATATATATGTACAATGTGTCATAATTGTTTGATACAATATTAATAAATACTTCGGTTGGTGCAGTAATAGTCTTTAAAATATTTAATATTTTTTTCTCAAACATGCTTGGAAATGTGAGCATTATTTTGACAATCTTCTTCGAGATAAATCAAAATTCCCGTACTGGCCATGTCTCTCACTCATATCTGTCCTGTAATTTAAAAATGGAATAACTTTTTACTTCGAAACATGGCTACCAAGGAGGTAACTAATACAAGGTTTTATTTAATTTTCGAACTGGCTTGCAAATAGAAAGCTGTTTTGTATTGAAAAAAAAACAAGCGAACTTTATGGCGCGTGAAAAATTATTATTGTTCGTTATTCGTCATTGAATTTAAAAAGTGAAATTGTGTTTTTGATTTCCGCGCATTGTTTGAGAAAAGTACTATACAAACCTTGGCCACAACTAGGCATTGATGGACTCACGTATGTGTGCCTCGGCTACACCTCGGCCCACATTTGTACGTTCCTCCATCAATGCCTCAGTTACTGGCTGCTGCAGTAATGTACTATAGTTTTACTTTAAAATATATATATAATAATAAGATTTATAGCGTATCAATAAGACAGTCTCGTAGTAGTCAAGTGTAGTGTCACAAAGAGGACGTCTCCACCGAGCGATTAATATAAAATTTGCAGGGTAGTATGGTGACCGTTCCGTTGTAATAATTTACACGGCCTACCCACTACGTTTATGCCGGTCCGCCATTGTCTAGCCATGTATTAGTGTTAACAATAATGATTGATTATTTAAAAAGTTCTCAGTTAGCGAACTAAAATATTCTGGTCCCATAAAGTGTCGATAAAATCGGTTTAGTCGTTTGGTTTTTCAATCAAAATAACCGATTAAAGTCAGTGTTTTTTTTTTTTATATATATAAAACTAAATCTATTTATTTAACACCGTCCTAAAACCGTCTTTGATTACTGACGGCTTTATTTTTTTATATAAATATATATTTTTTTTTATTTTTCAGAATCATCGACAATGAAAACGACAATATTGGCATGCATTTTATATGCGTGTATGGTGCCAGTTAGGTGCGACATTACACCTAATACTACTAGCGTCGCTACAGTTAATGCCACCGCCACTAGCGTGACAATATCCGCTACAAGCGCGACCCCAATTACTACTAGCGCGACCCCAATTATTACTAGCGTGAGCCCAAACACTACTAGCGCGACCGCTACTAAAGATAATGACGACGTCATTGACGGCATGATGTTTCTAACAGACATAGCACTAGCGCCATTCACAATGACAGACATGGATAATCGCTACGGAGACATACTTACGCATATAGAGATTTGTCCAGTTGGTTTTGTGACATACGGTGGTAAATGTTTTCCTTCTGTAAAAATTGATGTTCTGCTTTACAGTGACAACGATTAGTGTTATATTTATGTATAAAATCATCAACATAAGATACAGCGAAGCATTTCAATACAATACACTAGTGCAGGAGTTCCTAAATTTTTAAGTTTTTTTTTTTATACGACTTAGAATGGCAAACAAGCTGACGGCCAACCTGATGGGAAGTGGTAACCGTCGCCTATAGACATGAGCAGTACCATGGACGTAACAGAATATACTGTTTCGCCCATGATACCCCCAATGCGTTGCCATTCCTGAGGACTCAGGTGTTATTCCTCTGTACCCAGTAAATTCACGCCATATCCCACCCTTCAAACCGAAACACAGCCATGCAAACACAACTGCTTCACGGTTGAAACACAAATGGGACAGAGGTACCCAAGCAATCGACTTTTGTACAAATAACTTACCCTCTGGTAAGTTAACGGAACGCCCGCCAAATACCTTTTATTTTATGGAACCCCAAACTGATTACAAATAAAAAACCACTGTAATTTAACTAAAAACAAAAGCTTTTATTAAAAAAAATTAAAAAGTACAACACTTTATACTTTCTTTTAATTTTTAATGTGAAAAATGTAATTGTTTCACTGTATAAATAATTTCTCGGAGCCCTGCTGGGTTTTTTACGCAACCCACTTTAGGACTGTACTAATGGATTAGGTCTAACTGTTCTTACGTTTAGATGCAACCGCAGCATGTTTTGTGTTTAAAAAACAATAAAATGAAGTTAAATTATTGTTTATTTATTTATTTAACACTTTATTGTACATACTAATCATACATAAGGGTATGACAGAGGTAAACAAAATGTACAAAGGCGAGCTTGACTCTAAAAGAAATAACTCTCTAAAAGTCAACTCTTAAAAAAAATATTTAAAGATTGATAATTACTGATAAGCATAGGAAGGAAATCCCATAATCTAGCAGCACGGACGGTAAAGGATCAGCTAAAGCACCTAGACGAGTGAGAAGGGATTTTGGAGATAAGAGACTTCATCGAACGGGTGGGTATCATGGGCGAAACAGTATACTCTGTTATGTCCATGGTACTGCTCATGTCTATAGGCGACGGTTACCACTTTCCATCAGGTGGGCCGTCAGCTTGTTTGCCATTCTAAGTTGTATAAAAAAAATATAAATTGAATTTAGGTCAAATTGTAAATTATATTTATGAACCGATTTACAAAATTCCTTTTTTATCTGAAAGGATATACTTACAAATTGGTTCTATAGAAATTTTATCAAAATCGGTTCAGAAGCTTAAATTTTTAAATCAGATTTTGTTTTGTCACAGTTGAAGTAAGTTTTTTTATGGGACGCAATATTTAATTATTAACATTTCTGAAACCCACGCGTGTAAAGTAGCAGGAAAATAGCTAGTATAATTTAAAAATCATATAAATGTATAAAATAACGTATACAAGCTATAGGAGGTGGTGAGAGGGAGGTGTCTTTAATTTGTCCGTTTGTTGGAAGAAATACGTCGTAGACCGAGAGCTCAGAGCGAAAAATAATTTTGTTTTACTTTTCAAATCGACGTCAACGAGACGAATGTTCTCAATTCGATTGTTCTTCTTTTCTATGTTTGTTAGCACATAACTCCGTCAGAATTTCCAAAATCGGTAAACCAATTTGAGAAATTCCTTTTTTACTTGAAAGATCCTACTTACATATTGGTAAAATTTTACTAAATTCGGTGTTTTTTTTTTTAAACGACTTAGAATGAAAAAACAAGATGACGGCCCACCTGATGGAAAGTGGTAACCGTCGCCTATATACATGAGCAGTACCCTAGGCATAACAGAGTACACTGTTTCGCCCATGATACCCTCCATGCGTTGCAATTTCTGAGGACTCAGGAGTTATTACTCTGTACCCAGTAAATTCACGCCATATCCCACCCTTCAAACCGAAACACAGCCATGCAAACACAACTGCTTCACGGTAGAAACTCGAATAGGACAGAGGTACCTAAGCAATCGACTTTTGTACAATGTCTCCCTCGGTACAGTAGTTTAGTGTTTACATCAAAATAACTGGTTTTATCACAATTGAAATTTGTTTTTTTTTTTTTAATGAAGTGAAACAAATTTGAAATGAAATCAAATTAATTTATTCTGCTAGAATGTAAGTAATTTAAGATGAAAGAGCTTTCATTTCCCGTATACATTCTGCCTCTATGTCGACGTGCAAATTTTTAACAATATAAGATATTTACATATACAATAAAAGCTGCTTATTCACGCTTCCTTTATTCGCGGTTTCACTATTCGCGGATTGCGAAAATTGCGACCCAATTCCTATATTCGCGGCTGAAAATTTCTATATTCACGGATCTAATCGGTGTATATTATTAAAAAGGATTATGTATCCTTTGTAAACGCGTCGGCAAATGGACTAATAAGAAAGTAAAACAGACTTTATCACAACTACGCCTGAAGTACGTAGTCAAATGCTAACGCCGCTGTATAAGTGGTTCAGCTTTCTATATTCACGGTTTCTGTATTCGCGGCATATTTACGGAACGGATACACCGCGAATAAAGAACTTTTACTGTATTCTACATTGTGGGACCCAATTATACATTATTTATTTATTTTATTGATACACGCGGGCTGTTTCTAAAACATTTATTTATTTATTGTCAATTCGAACGTAGCTTGACACCAGGAAACACACGATGGAAAGCATTTGAGAAGACCTGTGACCAATAGTAGATAAATGAAATAATGATTATAATGGTATTTCCAAATTAATTATATCAGTTACAACACAAGAATCCTATATTCTATTACAGAATATCAGTGTTTTGCTCTTTTAAGGGCAAAGCAATAAATTGAGTTGTGACCATTTTGTGTTACTATGGCACACGCGTGAAGGAAGGGAAAGAAAGGACATTGTTAGTTCATATATTTTTTTTTTTGTTTTGTGCTTTTTTATTTTCATTCTTTTATCTCTTTTACTGTGTATTATGTGTATGTTTTTTTTTTTATTGTAATTGTGTGCAGTAAGTAATTTATTTACAAGAAATATGGTAAGTGTATAGATGTTACAATAAGTATAAGTCCTCATATTTAGCCATAATTAGGCATGCAAATATTAAAACTTAAAAAGAATAAATGTTAAATAAGTCATTAAAATTCGAAATGTTATATAAAAAAAAATACACCAAAAATGTCAGACACTTGTATAATAAATAAAAAAGAAAGAAATGTCACTGTCAAATCATGGACTATTGATAACGGCTGCATTGTAACACGATAGGTAATTCAAGTAGGTTGTTTACATTTTTGTATCAAAAACTCTTGCACACTGTAAAAGGACTCCTCAACAAGCCAATGTTTTAATGAATCTTTATATTTTCTAAATGAGAGTTCTCGTATACTTTTTGATATTTTATTATAAATTTTAATTGTCATTGAATAACAATTTTTATGGTAAAGTGTGCTTCTACAGTAAATAAATTATCTATCTATCTATCTATCTTTGAAAATAAGCAACTACTTGTGTCGCTAGATTAATTTTTTTTCTAAAAAACTTAGTTGCGAACGTGGTCGGGGCGATATCGTCGCCAGCTTCCCGACTACGCCGCCGTTATAAAGCTGAGAGGGGCTAATTGCCGTAATTAGTGCAAATGGCCATTTATTGCACTCGAAGCGAAATTGCGCGCCATCTTGATGGGGATTTGGTATATAATGTGATGGGCTATGTTATAATTGGTACATTTACTTGCAACCGATTTCAAAAATAAACCTCATCGTTTACAATTCATCTGTGTGTGTATTTCTCTCTCTCTCTATCTCTCTCTCTCTTTCTCTCTCTTTTTCTTTCTCTCTAAATGTAAATGTACGTATGTCATTTTGTTCACTAAGAGAGAATGCACACATACTCACGTGAGTACCCACACACTCACGCGTGGTATGTGTTTGTTGCTTGCCGCAAGTTGTGTGTGCGTGTGTGTGTGTGTGTTTTTCATATGTATATATATGTGTGTGTATGTGATTGAGTGCGTGCGTGTGTGTATGTGTATTTAAACCACCGATTTTATTTAGAGAACACAAAACTGTTTTTGCTGTGTAAAATTTACTTGTGAACACGCGATTCCGCGTTCTACTTTCAAATCATTTAAATCTAATGTATCTACGTAACGTCTCGTCGTTTGTTGGCGGTTTTTTTTCGGTTCAGATACAATTGAAGTTACCATTTTTTAATTCTATTATTACTTCTGTTATCCCCTTACTAACACATCATCCCTACTTTAACTATAGCTGATACAAACACGTTATAAATAATCGATAACGTGGACAAAAAGGAGCCAAGTTCGTCCCTGTGCCCCATCCAAATTAGCTATCAGACTAAAAATACGCCAAAGAAAACATTCACTGAATAGGCTCTACTACGGTATACCAAACCACCTGGCCAGTAAAGTATCCTTTAATAAAGGGATCTAATCCCATTAGTGGGACGTCAATGAGTTGTTATAGTAAACACATTATACCTAACAGATGAAGTCGGTAAAAACAAAACTAGCCGAGTCCGCCCCTGTGCCCCATCCAATTAGCTATCAGATTAAAGATATGCCGGGGGAGCCATTACCCGCCGAATTAGCTCTACGGCCGAGCTCGTCGCTCCCCGCGCCCGTTACACTACGCTCGCGCCCCAAGTCATAAGCGGTAGCGATTTATAAACTTTAATACTGTGATACAAGTCATTAACTGTAGCAGATGCCCCCCTCCCATGCTACAGTTAATGACTTGATGTTAAAGGGATTGTTAGCAATGGAGTTTGACAGCCCCATTGCTAGCAATATACTCTATTAGGTCGACCTTCACGTGGTTTCCCCTGGAAACCATCGTGAGCAATTCTTGTTTAATTCGTCACGAAGCAGGCCAGTTATGCTTCATCCTCACATATCACCCCTCATTAATGCCCCGCCGGTGTATACCGATAGCGCAGGCGGAGTTACCATTCCATTATCATCCATTAAAACAAATGCCTTCTAGAAAATGAGCATATTCCTTTTTAAAAGGCCGGCAACACACCTGCAATGCCGTAGGTGTTGTGGGTGACCATGGGCGGCGGTAGTCACTTACCATCAGATGAGCCGCATGCTCGTTTGCCCCCTGTGTTGTAAAAAAAATGCGCAAAATTCTTTCTGAATGTCAGGGGAAGGGGAGAGTGGATTGAGAATAAAATCAGTGTCTATTAATGGCAATAATGATATACATCATTACTACCAGAGGGAGACTTTGTACAAAAGTCAATTGCTTGGGTACCTTTATCCCATTCGTGTTTCTACCGTGAAGCAGTTGTGTTTGCATGGCTGTGTTTCGGTTTGAAGGGTGAGGTATGGCGTAAATTTACAGGCTACAGAGGAATAACACCTGAGTCCTCAGGAAGGGCAACGCATGGGGGGTATCATGGGCGAAACAGTATACTCTGTTATGTCCATGGTACTGCTCACGTCTACAAACGACGGTTACCACTTACCACTAGGCGGGCCGTCAACTGGTTTGCCATTTTACGTTGTAATAAAAGAAAATCCAAAACACAATTCCGCTGTCCCTTATGCCTTGCATCACACCACCCCCCTTTTTACCCCTAACTAATTGTTTTAATCGCGTCTACTTACCACGCTCTGGTGCCGATTCGTATATATTATATATTGCCGCCGCGCGGTTTCTCTCGCACGCCTTCCATGTAGGTACGTACGAAACAAATCGACTACAATTGTGAC